CTTATTTCTGAGTGACATTACACAAAGGGAAGGAGCTGGCAGCCGGTCAAGTATTCACGGCCGTTGAAGCTGAGCACACGAATGAAGCGTTGCCGCTTCTCCTTCTGTGTGTGTCAGAGAATTTTCATCGTGGGACAAAGCAAAGGGTGGCAGTCACGATGGAGAAACAGAGTCGGTGGAGTCTGACTCGGTGCGGGTCACTCGCTCCCTGACGGAAGACGCGTGCGTGGGGCCCGCGCCGAGTTTACACACCGCGGCGTTTCCTCCCGTCTTGAAAGGCTCCTCGTTGTCTCCTCTTAAAATTGGCTTTTGGGGTTCAGTCCTTGGCTGACACGATGGTCGTTGACGATCACGTAAGAACGGCCATCTCTCACGCTACGCTGCTTCCACAGATGAGCTCTCCAAGACGAGCGGCAGTCCCAAACCTTGAATCCCGACAGAATTCTCCAGAAGCAGCAGTGAGGAGCGCATAAGCACGCTTTCAGTTTAGAGTTTCAACACTCCTCCCAAGCCACCCCCACACACTCTGGGGCAGGGAGAACACCCCCAGCTCTCTCTACTCACGAGGGACGAGGCTGCCTGCGCGGAGAGCATAGAACGAAACCAGAATAATCCTAGCACAGCTCCCACCTCCCTGGCCCCCGGTGGGAGCTCCACCTCACTCCCACCCCACTCCCCCCCACGCTGGGGCCTTCCTGTCTTCTTTTATTATGGAAATTTTCTGACACATCGCAAAGTAGAGCAACTGATAGAATGACGCCCCCACCTTTAACAATCACAAACATCCCCACATCTTGTTGCATCTGTGTCTCCCCGACCTCCCTGCTGGACTTGCCTTTGTCTCCTGCAGCATTTTAAATCCCAGACCATCTAACGCCGCTCACACACATTTTGCACACTGCAGTGGAGTGGGTTTGTGTGGAGCTTCTCCTGCGGCCCCTGGCCTGCAGCCCTAGGGATTCCTTTCTGGTTTTAGCCACAAGCTCAGGCGCTGGCCCACGGTCAGCATCCATAAAGACTTGGAATTTGATGTGTAATTAAGGACAACAGATTTACTGCCATAAACTTAAGGTCTTTACAACACAGCTAACAAACACCTCAGTCATCAAATCCACCTTCAGCTAAAGACTCACTCAGGCCCGAGGCTGTGGCCATGGGATGGGGCTTGCAGCAGAGTCTGGACTTGCTTCCTGGCCCTGCGCTGGGCTAGGCCTGTCGATGGTGAGGCCCATCGCGCTTCCCAAAGATGACCGCAGCATGCCCCCTGCCCACACCGGCTTCCAGCAGGAGACCAACTCCCCATCAACAGTTTATGTTCCTTTCCCTGGCAGCTGGGAGGGCTTCCGGCCACAGTGAATGAGGTGGCACAGGACACCAGGGGAGGTACGCAGCTTCTGGCTTGTCAGGAACTCACACTGGACTCTGGGTGCCTGGGGGGCAGCAGCCGGCCGCCCTGGGGCTGCCATGCTGTGAGGAGCCCGAAGCCCACAAGGAAAGGTCCTAGGACTTACTCACCAGGGGGACACGGCAGAGAGCCCACCCGCCTCAGTCGCCCCGAATCTCACGGTCCCTGCCATTCTGACTCTAATTAACTACTTCTGAATTCTGAGTTCACGAGTGACCCCAAGCCAGAAGTACCCGGCCAAGGTCTTCCTGAATTCTCGATCCACTAACACCGTGAAAGATCATGTTATTTTAAGCCTTTAAGTACCGAGGGGACGGGTCTTGTAGCGACAGGCAACCAGAACACGGGCAGCCACTCAGCCTCTGTGCCACACCCACCACGTCCCTAAAATGGGAATGAAGATGGTAGCCACACGGCACCGGGCTGTCATGGTGTCATGACCTTTGGGCGCTTCATGGCTCAGTAAATTGAGGGGGAGGGTTCTCACGGGGGCCACACAATACAATCCCGACTAACCCAGCAGAAACATCTGCAAGTCCCCGTTTGCCACGCAAGCCGATGCATCCACTGGAGTTTTCCACAGAAGAAAAATCAGCTTGGGGTTGCTGTGAGTTTTACATTCTCTCAGCAATGGGAGAAACAATAGAATTTTACAAATCGCTTGGGCTCTAATTGCCTGGCAAACACACCCAGAGCTGCAGGCGCACTTGGCAGGTTTGACCCGGGCTCTGCTCCCCTCTCAGGTTAAACAGGCTCTGGGAGCAGCAGAAAGGCCGCCAGCTCGCTTCTGTTCTCAGGCGTAGTTAAGTGGGAGGGAAAGTTGCCCACGAATTTGATTTTGACAACCTGGAAATAATTGAGCTATGCGTCTCTTCTCTCTCAAGAGAACTTGGTTTTTTACACTCATTTTGTGAATTTTAAATTTTTTTTTTTTGATGCCTGACCATTGTTGTACGTCCTTGTTTGTTCTCAGGTGTGGGCACCATCCCTTCCCGGGGTGGGGGGATGGAAGCCCAAGGGGTGCGCTTCACTCATTGCTTGGTGAATTGGATGCAGCTCTTGGGTCTGAAAATGTCAGTTTTTGACATAAAGGAACTCAGCAAAGGCTGGCAAGGGAACCACTGGGTAGAACTGCCCAGAACAGCCCCTCAGCAGGCCGGGCACATTTCCCGTGGCCCGCGCACGGTTTGTGAGCAATCTCGGATCCCTGAGAGCGCCCCTGAAGACTTCTTGAGACGAGTTGCACTTGCTCACGCTGCCGTTACACAACGCAACCCACCAATAAGGCGTCTTTACTCTGGGAGTTGGGACCCTTTTGGTGCCTTTTCTGGGGTTTTAAGTCACGAGGGGCGCCTCAGTTAGGTATTTGCTGGGGCTGCAGGGATCCTCCCTATTAAAAGGCCCTTTAGCCAGAACCGCCACCTTCCCGTAAATCACCAAAATGGCCATCACTAAGGGAAAGAGCAGAGGCAGCTGCTGTATGTTCTCTAAACCTTCTAGAAAACACAGAGGTGTTCTTCTGGCCACACACATGCGAATCTGCCGTTGATACTGTAGACATCAAGGGTGCGGGCACTGTTCAAAGAGGGACACCCCACAAGTTACCACGGCAACACTGAGAGCGCCTACAATGTCACCCAGCGTGCAGCTGGCCCTGCCGTAAACAAACAAAGGCAAGAATCTTACCAAGAGAATTCACATGGTGTTGAGCATTAAGCACTGCAAGAGTCGAGGTGGGTTTCTGGAACGCGTGAAAGAAAGTGATGGGGGAGGGCGTGGAAAGGCTTCCATGTGCTGCGTTTGCCCTCTGGCCGCAGCCCACGGGCCGCGTGGATGCTGAACAGCTGTCTCAGAGGCAGCAGCGACGGAAGCCTTCCAGTAATCTAGGCGGCCAGATACCCGGGGCCATGGGAGACACTTTCCTTCACACCAGGCGAAAGGCATGTCATGAAATTCAGCAGAAGAGGCCGTGGTCCACAAAACTCTCATGGAAGCACTCAAGGACAAGGCACCCAGGTTTTACGCCGAAAGCTGCGTTAAAACTGCAAGCTGAACTTTTGGAATCCTAAGTATGTAAGATGATGCAAATTAGTATAGATTTTCTTCCAAAGACATGATCCTCACCCTTTTGGTGACAGTTGACACCCGACTGTCCACTGATGCTAACCCTCCCCATCCAGGAGGCAAACCATCCGATGCAGACTTGCCCCACACTCAAAACACCTTATTTAACACATTTATTTCCCCAGGGCGGTGTGAGCCTCGGAGAGCACCAGTGAGCCCCGAGGGCGCGCAGGGCGGAGGAGCCGGGCACTCTCCCGAGGGCAGAGGACTGGATGGGCATGGGGCAGGAGAGCCGGGGAGTCCCACCTAGCCCCTGTGACCTCAGCGGGTCAACAGCTCTTGCAACACCACGGCAGCTCTGACTTCTTCAGACCCAAGGAAGAGCACAGTGTCATGTATTTTTTAATTAAAATCCTCGGCTTAAAGCTAATACACTAGATTGCGACAAAACTGACAACCTGAGAGAAATCCGGGCGGGAAAGTGTTACTCTTTTGCCGACTCTGAAGTTCGGGAGAAAGCATCTGCTTACGTGGCGGGTCCCAGTGGCCACAGTCCCGCCGATGGCAGTGCCACCCACGTCAGTCACCGTGGGACGTGTGCTGGATGGCAGCGGCGAGCTCTATTATGCGAGCTCTATTATGCGCCGCGAGCTCTATTATGCGAGCACTGCAGCTGGAATGCCAGGGACCTCTGTGGGTCACATGCCATGAGGGGTCATGAAATCTGCTTAGCAGCTTATCTGGGGGAGTGGGGAGGTTTAGCAACAATAGAGCAGGATATAAAACACAAAAATTACGTTTGGTAATGATGTGTGGCGACGGGTTCTTACAGCCGTAACTGTGATGATGTCACAATGCAGGCAGCGAGCTGTCGCGCTGTACACTGGAAACTGATACGTATGTCAATTAGAGAGCACACATTATTCCATAGCCCAGGTTTCTAAAGGACAGATTTACTTATATACACGTGTGGCTTCATGTAAAAGGGATCGACCAATTCCGGCACCTCCGACCTACATCAGGGGCACAGCAGGGGCACGTAGCTTCCCCCCCCCCCCCCCCCCCCCCCCCGCAGGCCCCCAGACAAAGCAGTGATGCTACGTCGGTGGCTGAGCATTGCCATGGGAGGGCACTGTCCCGACGGGTGATATTCACTTGTATCACCCTTGCGACAAGCCTGTGAGGCAGCCTCCATCTTCACCTACACCTCACAGATACGACAGACACACAGCCAGGAAGTGGCTTGAGCGAGCTGCCGGAGCAGCCAGCAGCAGCACCTCTGGAGTGTGATGCAGAGACGAGCTTTGCATCTCCACCAAAAGTCTGTGTCCTCCCAAAACAGCCCCTTCCTCTGCCCCTGCTTCCCCAAAGGTGAGCAGAGAACGTTCCAGATCACAGGTTTCTGACGCCCCATCCTCGGCTTTCCACTGTAACTCACGCTATAGTGTTCTTAGAAAAAGCTGACTCACCAAGCTGGAATCAAACAAGAACTAAGTAAAAGAATAAAACACGCACATTTGAAAGAGAACATATTTATTTACATCACTATTTCCTTTTTACAACTACTATACTTTTAAATAATAAAATTCTCCAGGAAATCAGGTACTTTTAAATTAAGATATTTTAACAAAGAAAATTTCCACAATATTTTTATTTACATGAATTTTCAAGAGTTTTAAATAGTTCTTTTGAGACTACACAGCCTAACGAAAGTTCTTATTTAGATCTTTCAAAAAAAACTTTCCAAAGTTTTCGTGTAGGAAATTATGCTTAGACTAGGTCCTCACAGCTCACACCCCCTCGACCCGAGCTCCTGGTAACACCTGCACACCTGCTCCAGAGACCAGCCCCGCGGTGGCCGTGAGCTGAACTGACCTGGCATGTGCTAATGGTGAGATACTCTCTGGACAATTGAAATTGCTTTGATGAAAACTTTCTGGGAGTTTTCTGTATCCCTCATACACTGCTATAAGCCGCATGCGTGCGTCGTCTGAGCACTGAATTTACAAGAATAACGGCTCTGCTTCAGCTTAGCCGACACCGACAGGCTCACGGGAGCCAGAACTCCACAGAGCGGGTACTGGGGCACTGCCCTCTCCTTGCCCAGTCACACTTGGGATGCTCACTTTCCTGGATATTGCACATGCAGATCACTTGTTTTTAAAGAATTTACTGTTCCCAAAATGACTATCAAGAGTAACCACGATTCGACATCCTTTTATGTCACACTGACAGATTTCAAATATTTATTAGTGAAACTATAAGAGGATAGATTTTTCCTAATTATTTTAAGCATGAGTTCCTCTGAATAGTTGGTATAACATCCTTTAAAAAATAGAAAAATTAACTTTTACCATGACCCAAGCTACAGTTCACAATGGAAACGCATACAGCTCTGTCCACTTCTCCGTCAGACAGCAGAGGGTCAGCCCGAGTGTCAGGCCGCGGCAATGGAGGCGTCATCCACGAGTCGACCCTGCGGCTTTAAAGCACAGAAACAGAAGGGTTTACACAATAATGACGACACAAAAGCTCTGGTAACTGAAAAGATCTCGAAGTTCGTGGAGGTGTCTCACAGACACAGAGGAAACTTGTGCAAGTCTCAAAACAAGAAGTTCTCTTCTCACCCCATACCTTCTTTCTCCAGGTGAACCCGGGGACGGCCACCGCCCTGCTCCCTCTGACCCTGGGCTGACACCCCAGCCATCTCTCAGCTTCCCCTCGGTCGTAGCCAGTGTGCTAGCAGCCTGGGCCATCTGCCCTGGGGGGTATAGGCTGTATCCCGGCCCTGCCTAGGGGTAGGAGCTGCGTCCTCTCCCTCTGGCTCAGGCTCCCTAATCTACAGCTGAAGCAGCCTGAGCCTACGGACAAGGTGTCGGAAGAGCCTAGGACTCCCAGTTTCCTGTTTGAGAAAAAGCAATTCAGCGTGAACCCTCGGGCGTCACACAGCGACCACTGCGCCAGGACAGAGCAACAGGTTACAATAAAATTTTCCCTCCACAGTCTCTGACTGAAAAAACTTAAGACATCACGTCAGAAGAGAAAAGGCTAAGAAATGAAAGGTATCGTAACTGCCCTCAGGTGTAACATCTCCGACAGAGAGACAACCCAGAAAACCCTTGCCAACGTTCTTACACAGAGGCCCTGTGGAGAAGCGTGAGAGCTGGTGCAGGGGAAAGAAACAGAAGACCGTGCCTTCACGCAGCCTTCACGCTGCAGGACGCGCCCAGCATCGGGAGAGGCCTATCCCAAGGAGGCGGCCTGCACTGTCCGCCTGCCGCACGCCCCAGTGAGGGCTCTGACAGCGCAGGCGTGACCGGGATGCCTGCAAGAAAAGGGCCCGGCCACCCAGGTGTCCTGCCGCGTTCAGCCCCAATGGAGGAAGTTCCTAAACTACTCTTGAAAAAGTCTTTTTTAAAAAGCACTGTTTAAACACAGAATACCAAAGCTGCGAGATTTTTTCTTTTACAACTTCAAAGTACAGTGTATGCTAGGAGCTCGGAAGCGTTAATAAAATGATTATTTTTATTATTTTATTATTTTGCAGATGCAGCAAGAAGTCTGGAGAGATAAAAGCTCAGGGAAGATTATGAAGGATATCTGAACAGAGACTAATCCATTACCTACGAAGTCCCAGGGTACAGCAAGCCACAGTTCCCCAAAACTTGAAAAGACAGATATAAAAGGAAAACAGTAAGTGGTGTAACCTGCCTTCCTAAAGGGTTTAAATTCTTGGAGGTAAATGAACTTCTAGTGCAGCCAGTTCACTCTCTCACACAGCCTGTACTTTTTTTTTTTTTAATTACAAGAGCCTGGAAATCCTATCACTGTGGAAAATCAAAATATTAATCAAGAGTAGAGTTTCCAACTGACGAGCACTTTCAGCAACGACAACACCCAGAGCTGCAAAGAGAAGTAGGAGCGTTCGGGGCTCATATTTAGAAAGCTAATCCTGTACAAACTAACTGCAATTTTACAATGCCCTTTACTAAGTCAAAGAAAAAACATATTTAAAGATACTCTAAGGATAAACTACTTACTTAAGGCAAACAAAAATCTTTGAAACTAGATTCTATACAATAATAGCAACTTTTAGAAATGAACAGCAAAGTTGCCAAATTCAGATAATGGAAGTCAAAGCTACCCGTTAGTCTTAATATTCTTTAGTGAGGTTTACATGAAAAAACACCTCCTTTAGTTTGTTTTCAAGACAGTAAATTTAAATAGCAAGAAATGCCCAAGCCTCACCTTCACGAAGATGCTGGTCGGTATAAACCGCCGGAGGAGCTGATGGGTGAAGTTGGGAAACCGCAGCAGGTTGATGTGGAGAGATGGTAGCTGCTGGTATCCCGCCATCAGAGGGTAGAAATTGTACAACATCTCCTGTTCGGTGCCAGGCAGGATACGGAGTCGGATCTAAATCATAAAAAGTCAGAGAGAATGAAAACCAAATAGAGACATTAGCAACTTTGACACGCTGTCACCCCTGGATTTTTCATGAGCTGTCTGGTGAGACTGTCTCTCCCCACCATTCCATCTTCCAGAGATTCGAAATGCAGGCTGAATGAGTATGAGGCTAGGAGAACACGGACAATGTCTAAAAAATACACACATGATTCTCAGCTGCTGTAAAGGCCTAGAAGGTGACATGTACCTGCTTGAACATGAGACCACCAGGCACATGGCTGCTTCCTGGTCTTAGTCGGGGTAGGTATGATGGTTACAACAGGCCCACTTGAGGGAAAGTATCTTGAAAACATCATGCTGACATAAGACAAAACGAGCTGTTTTTGGTGTTTTCTTTTAGGGATTTTTACCTTTTGTGTTATGGTAACTTTGGGGGAAAAAAGATGTTTGGAAATTTTTAACAATACTTTATTGAGAAAAGAACACAAACTGATATGATTTTGTTATCTTCATCTTTCCAATTATTTATAAGTCAAGATCAAACTAGGAGAAGTAATCTGTTACGTCTGTGTGTAAGTAGTATATATATGTACATGGTGTGACAGACTGGACAACAGGTATGGACCAGGATGTTACAGCTGGCTTTATACTGAAATGGATTACAGATTCAGAGTATGGGACGACAGCACACTTCCTCTATCATTCTATTTTGCATTTAACAACAAACACACAGCACACTGATTCCAGATGCTAAGACACATCTGTTCCTGAAATTAACATCCTTATTCATGGAGAGTATTTACTGCCTTCTGCGGGTGTCTCTGTTACCCCGATTTCTCACTGAAACATGGTTTGACTGAGAGACTGTTCACTCACTTAAAAATCTGATGAACTTTCCACCTTTAATTTGAAGGGATGAATAAAAACTCTGGGTAATTTATTTTTACATGTAAATGCAAAACTGTGTCTAAAAGATAAATTTGTGACAAAAGATAAGTAAATTCTATTCAAGATCAAAGTCTCTGAAAAAAATTGAGTTCAGAAGAGAGTTAGGCCATTAATACTGGAAGTTCCATCTCTAGGGCTCAAATTCAAAGGCCCACATCCATGAAGTCACTAGTAATACAAAGGATTCTAAGGTGCTCAGAAATCTTATGTAGTTCAAGGACTTGTGGACCCTTGTAAGAAAGAACCTGTGTCTGTGTTCTCAAGGTTGTGAACTGTATTGCCTATTAAACCTACCTCTATAGCAAGTGGTATTTTATCTTAAAAGTGACTTAAAAATCATTTCTATCAAAACTGGGACCATAGTCAGCCAGAACCCATTCATTTTAAACACTAAATGTGCAAAGCTCCCTTTCCTGACCACATCTTTGTGGCCACAGAAGCAACCCAGCGAGACATGGCCTCACCTGTTTGAGGCCCGAGAACATGAAGGCGTCGCTGGGCTCCACGGAAATCTCCACGTCTTGAACCAAGTTCGTCTTATTCTGCAGGTGATACCTGACTGGCAGCGATTCTCTGACTCGCCCAAATGACGGCAGATCTGCAAGGAAGAAGGACACGTGTCTCTTGGTTTAAAAAAATAAATCAATGTTTATGGCTTCTTTTTTGTAAATCACATCTCATTCTAGAGACATGGGATTATTTAAATTAATGGCATTACTATACTCCTGCTAAGTAAGAAAATTCCTTGGGCAAAAGCCATGGGATAGGCTAAAACAGGCTAAGAAAACCAAAGTTTCCTCTAAATTTTTTATCCAAGAGTGTTGACCATCAGGACTTGAATTATATTCTGAGAATATTTTTTTTTAAATCTTACTTTTTTTTTTAGATTTATTTATTTATGCACACAAGAGCTGGGGTACAGGCCAGAGGTGTGGGGGGGTGAGAGGATTCACCAGATACAGAGTGGGGAACAGAACAGGCAAATCGACTGAAATACACTGCTGAGGGAGCAGTGGGCAAGACAGGAGAGGTCTGCTGCGCCATGTGGGTAGCTCCCTGGCTGGCCAGGTATCAAACTCGTGCTGCAGAGGCTGTGGATCACTTCATAGTGCAGTGCTTAACCCCATGCGCCACCAGGGAGGCCCAAGAATAACTTTAAAAACATACTAAGAATTTTGCTAGAGATCATCATGACTCAAGAAGGAATGATGGATACTATATGCCTTCTCCTGATGGGGGCAGAGATATCAGTAACTATGAAACATTCTTGCCAAAAACTTGAACCTGAGTGTGACCAAGCCTATAGCTCTAACTACCAATTTTTAAACTGGAGACGCACTTAGAAATGACAATGTGCTATCAGCAAAATCCAGACTGCAGGAGCTCTGCGGGACAGATGACTTGTTCTCTCAGCGAATGTGAGGGACAGGGGAAAGGGAAGCGGGGGGAGAGAAGGGAGGTGGTGTGAAGAGGGGAGGTGGGACAGCGGAGGTGGGGCGGGGAATCTGCCATCAACAGAACTGAAAATTACGAAACATCCATCAATTGCAACACAGAGGCCTTAAGACAAACTGAAAAATAGTCAAACTGAGAAATTTCAAGCAGTTCCGTGAAGAGCTTTTAGAATCCCATTTTTGTTTTGCATATTTCCAACAAATGTAATACCTTTAAGAAATAAGTGCTAATTTTTAAAGTCAGGATAATAATATCATGATGTTTATAAAAACAACCGCCAACATTAACGAGGCATACTGAAAAGTTACAGGTGAAATAACTCCTGGGATTTGCTTCAAAACACTGTGGGCAGGAGGTGTATGTGAACGTACAGAGGAAACAAGACTGGTCATAATCTACTTTTGCAAAAATGTTGGACATTTTTCATAACAAGTTAAAAAAATAAAATCTCTGATACTAAAATACATACTCTGGGGCCTCCCCCATGGGCAACGGGGGAGAGCCAGCTATGAAGCTATCCGCAGTCTGCAGCGCGAGTTCAATTCCTGGCCGGCCGGGGAAGATACCCACATGGCGCAGCAGACCTCTCCTGTCGCACCCACTGCTCCCCTCAGCAGTGTATTTCGTCAGTCTGCCTTTCTGTTCCTTGCTCTGTCTCTGGTGAATTCTCTCACCCTCCCGTGCCTCTTATCTATACCCCAATTCTTGTATAAATAAATAAAAAATCTTAAAATAAAATATAATACACTCTCGATTAGATTCTTAGGCGAAGCCGGGGGGTGGTACCTGCGTTCACGTGGAGGGGGATGTTCTCAGCCAGCACGTGGGGCAGGGTGATGACGGTGCTGATGGCGGGGATGTCGTCCGCGGCCGAGGCCCTACGGAGGAGGGCGCAGCGAGAGAGACACGTGTGAGAGAGACGGGAATCCATCAAACACAGGGATCAATTCTACTCACAGCTTCAGAGGAAATGGAATTATCCCTTGACTGAAACTTTACTAAAGGAAGCCGTGTTGTGAAGACGAGCCCTCAGAACCCCGCTTCTGTCTGGCAGATTCCCAACAAGCAAACATGGCAGGACCAGGCCACAGTCTAGCCCCGCGGGTGGGAGGTGGAGTTGTGCCTGAATGTAAATCATCGACACCACGGAGCACACCCTCTGACACGTTTCGGTAGCAACATGTTTTCCGTGTAGGAAGCAGCAGCGTGACGTGCTCTGGCACAATCCTCCTCTCACTCGGGACCCCACATGGAGGCGCCCAGACCACTTCTGAGGGCACCCCAGAGCCCCGCTCTCCACATACATGGCCCCAAAGAACTACAGGTAAGTCACTATCCACCAGCAGGGAGACGCCGCCTTGACTGAGACGAGGGGAGACACGACAACCCCGCTGTCTCCCCTGCATTACAGTGAGGGCGGGCAGCAGCTGCACCACAAAGAAAGTTCTTTGGAGCCCATAGCTGGAGGTGAAACTGTGTGTGACAGTGTGTGTGAACCACAACAGAGCAGAAGCAACAGGCAAAAACATCCATCTCTTCCACAGAAAATGTCTGTCTGGCATCACAGGAGCGGAAGGAACAACAGACACCACTTCCCACATGCTGCTGTCGCCCTACGGCTACATCAACTAAACAGCGATACCAGAGATTCGGAAGTGGAGAAAAGACAAGTTGGTTTTAAATAAAATCATGTATTTCTCCTTTCTTATTTTCAATAATCCTGTCTTAAAATGTATGCGATCACTGACATACACTCGGAAAATGACCCCTGAAATACCATGACCTGGCTCCCAGCCTAAGACAGAAAACAAGATAGATGTTATCTTCTTGTCTCCCCTTCCCTGCTGGTCTCCTCCCTCCCCCAGGAAGTCACGACGCCAGATTTGGTACCTGCCACAGTGGTCTCCGGCTGTCCAGGCCATATGTCTGCAGGTGCTGAAGGCCTTAGTGGGCTGACAGGTTTGGCTCGAGCTCATTGTCACTGATGATTTTATATTTTGAACATGCTACAATTTCTCCATTTTCCTGCTGATGGACATTCCACTTGTTTCTAGTTTTTTATTATTATAATTATGTTGTGTGGAGGTGGATGTGCTTACGCAGGGGCCTGCATGCACACAGTGGAGACGCTTCCTGGGGCTGCAGGAGGTGCCCGGTGCTGCTGAACAGCTTTCGAGAGCAGTTGTTCTAACACACACTCCAACTTCAGACTGCTTGACCAGTTTTATATTGGGAAGCCTTTCTGTTTTTCCAAACTAGTGACGTGCATGTGAATCTTGGAACTAGTAACCTTGACTTTCTCGCCCTGTTTTACTGGCCACCTGGCTGCTTCTGTGGCCCTTACACTGACTGCCTCAAGTATCTCGCTCAACTAGGAAACTTGCCTTTTTTTTAATAATCTATAGACATTCTTGATGTGAATTGTAATCTAACATGTAAATTGTAATTTACATGTTGCAAACAGCTTTCCCAGTTTGTATTATCTTTTCACTTTCTTTATTGTATTTTTAACGAGCTGGGAAACTTCATTTTAAGAAATCAAGTTAATCCATTTTAGTGACTTACATTTTTGTATGTTAAAAGAAATTCGCCCCTCCTCCAAAGGCATAGAGTGATTATCTTATTTTCCTACTGAAAGTAATGGTTTTGCTTTTTACAAGTAGAACTTTATATGCCTGGAATTAATTTTTATTATACAGCATACAGGAGAGATCCAATTTTTTACCAACTGGATGGAGCCAACACTCTAAGACCAATTATAAGGAGCTTCCTCACTGATCCCGTGCCACTTCTGGGAAGGGTCATTTCCAAGTGTGAGGAGGATCTGGAGACCAACTTCAAGAGACTTCTGTTTTATTGGCTTAATCATACATGCCCACACCGGTACCCTCGCCGTGACTACTACAGCTTTATAATTAGTCCTGCAGTTTTAAAGGGCAAGCACCCTCACCCAGTTGTTGTTCTGGAACATTCTGACTATTCTGACTTAATGCCTTTCCATATAAATTTAAGAATCAAGAGTGTCAAGTTCCACAAAAACAAAACCAACTTGAGGTTGTAACGGAAATGGCACCAAATCTACAGAATAATTTATAATATTAAATATCATCCAAATCCTACCCAGACCATCTTGTTTCTCTCCCATTTTGGTCTTCCTTCAGTGTTTCAAAGCTTCATAGTTTTCTCCATAAAAGCAATGCACTTAACATTCTATTGCAGGTATTTCCACTCGGCTTATTTTTGCCACATACTTATTTTAAAGGCACAGTGCCTAGAGGTTTATCACTGATACACAGAAATCCAACGGAACTTGCATGTTCTGATGTTTTATCCCGCAACCTCGCTGAACCTCTTATAATTCTAATAAAGTGGAATCCTTTGGGTTTTCTGTACAGACAATCCTAGTGACTGCCATCAGGGCAGCTTCTTCTCTCACCAGAATTAGTTTGGCTAAAATTTCATCAGTCTATAGGTCACCAAGTGTGATAAACAAATGAAAGTTTCACCATGCTTTCTAAGCTCTGTGTCTTTGACAAATGGTCAGTGACAGCCCACAACTTCTACTCTAATCCACAGAACTGGCAGAAGCCCTCCGGTCTTCAAGGACAATGACTAGCAATACAGGTGTGAGAAGGGCGCAGGTGTGGAAGCAAAGACAGCGCTCGTCTAATTTTACCTCTTCCAGGAGACAATATAATGCCCAGTTGCTACTCCGCCTTCAATGTTCCCAGCAGACGGGCACCGGAGACAGAAGCATTCGCTCGCACTCTCTCCAGTCTGCAAGACAACTGTAAGACAGAGGCATCACCCCCATGTGCTGACAGTTCCCAGGCAGGGGTCTGCGTGCAGGTGACACAGCAGAGAGAACACTTCATCGAGGGCACATCATCAGAGACCTGTGCGGGCGATGGCACAGGGATGTTCAATGATTTTTCCAAAGGTCCCAAATTCACACCCAGTATCTTTTCCAATCTGTCAGTACTCCACTATAATTAAAATTGGACGCATCTGTGCGCCTGTGACAAGTTTCTGTGGAATTAACGAAAGGGAGACGTCCGAGGTCAGAACAATACCCGCTGGCAATTATTTTTCTTTGTCTAAATTATTTCCTATCTTTGAGGGAAACATCTCAGGTTAGGGAAAAGAAAAAAATTTAATTACTCTTTAAGGTTTCAGAATGATGTTCCAGAAAACTCTGGCTTTCCCTGAACAAACACATATTACTGATACCCCCACCCCCGCCAGGTAGAAACACAGCACAGATGCCTCGTGCAGCCTGGTGCTGCCTACCTCCTGCGCGAGGCTGCTTTCCTCTGCTCAACCACAGAGCAAACTTCTTATGACAAGATAACGCTCACCTAGCCTGGGCCTTCCCCACCTGTCAGCACCTCACAGACCATGACGTCACTCCTTCAAATGCATGTGGCCAAGAATGCCTGTCCAATGCCAATTTTAGCAAATGCGTGAGTGAAACTTCCAAGTAATAACAACAAAGTCCCTAAGTGACATTAAGTCACTATTTTTATCGTTTTCCAATGAAGGAGGCTGTGGGATAGAGTAATGGTTGTGGTTGTGGGTAGATACGAAGTGAAAGGGAAAGAAACTGGGGCAATCTTTACTTAAATGTTTAAAATGAATTTTAAGGACTAAAAAATGATACTGCAGCCCCGTACGTAAAAAACGCATCATTCAAACCCATTAAGATAGCTTTTTAAAAAACCTTTTATATTAAACTCTCCCAAAGTCCTCCCTAATCTTAAGAAGTTAATCAAAACGGTCATATTTATTAACAATTAACAGCAGGGTCAAATTTACAACCTAAAAAAGTTATTTTCAATGTGCTGAACACAAATGCTATAATGCACGGTGCTGGAGTTCTTGGGAATGGCAGACAGACTAATGCACCCCAAAGATATCCACACCCTGATCTCAGGATCTTTGAATACTACCTTATATGGTAAAACTGACTTCAAAGATGTGATCGAAGAGATGATCTTAAAATAGAGAGATTGGCACAATTAGCACAGTGAGGAAAAAAGGTGAGGGCAGAGAAACAAAGTAGAACGAGACTAATTTCCAAGACCACAAGAGGAAAAGGAATTTCAAGTGAGAAAACAAAGCATATGATGGAATTCTAAAACCAAACTGCTTTTTATTACTTTCTAGAACTGGGACATATTTCTAGCACTTAAGTAGAGAACCTGACTTCTTTCTATCTTTTGATCTTATATGAAGATGTGATGCCACAGTCTTATGCAAAACCCTATTGTTTCAGGGAAAATGGCTCCACCTTTGTGAGGGATTGTCTCAAACATACAGAAGTGAGCCTGGAGACCGCCTGCCCCTCATCCTTGAGAGGCCAGCGTGGTGCCTCCCAGGAAACCCTCAATAAATACTCATATTTATTGGATTATTGATACTGAAACTCATTTATAGGTCAGATGTGAAAATATACTGAGATTTTGGTTACTGCTCATCCAATTCTAATGTGTATTGGAAATCAAGCATGACTTATCCCAGACAAGTAGCAGACAGAGTAAATGAAAAAACTCGTACTTGGTTTGAAGGATCCATCATGATTTTTTTTTCCTCACAAGACGGAGCCTTATAATATACTGAATACAACCTTGCTTGAGTTAACATTCAAAGCAATTTTTATTCCCTCAACAGCTCAAGAAACAGACAAGCCCCAAAATACTGAACCAGAAAGGTATCTTGGGCTTGAATCTCTTTTATGTACTGTTTAAGGGGTGATTTAGAAAACAACTACTTATTTCATACTTGCGCAAGTTTCTTTAGGAAACATCTTTTCCCATTTCAAACTATAAACAACAGTAAACAGCAATTAAAAACTACTAAGAAAATCTATAAAAGAATCTAAATATGAAAAAAAGTAATGTTCAAGTGCATTCTTCAAAGAGTCACTTCTTTTGGAAGATCACAAAAGTGTGACCTTTCAAAACAGGGAACACACAAGTCAACTGTAATTGATGCCAATTCCGTCTTAATTATGTCTTCTGTGAGTATAATAAGTATTTGCTTTTGTGAGACTGTCTCAAGCTCCCTCATGTACTTTAAAGCTCTCGCGCAGCCAGCCTCCGCCCCTGCCAACACCGTCTTCCACTGAGGAGGAGGGCCGGGTTGCGCACTCACCTCTGTCCAGCTGGGACTCCAGGTGGTCCACTGCGGTCATGGAGGGAGCGAGCTGCAGCTCGCTGGAGACCACCGTGAGGGCCCAGGGCGAGGCGCTCAAGAGGTCCGTCATCAGCAGGAAGGGGATGTCTACGTAGGCTCTTTCCAGGTGTTCAAACTGCCACAATGAGGAGAAAGGTCTGTCAGGACGGATGGGGATCACTGCATTTTCTCCGTCAGTTTCTAGAACCCAGTGATTTCCAGTGTGCTCCCAGGAACGTACCTTTGTAGAAACAAATCTAACTGCCACATCAAATGGAAAGACCGTTTCTATTGTTACCGTTTCATCCTGCAAGAAAATTTAAAGGACACTCTCAATGGCTTTTTGAAATCTGAACAATCAGGTTTTAAACTCAAGAGGCCCTATAAAATATACTTGCAATCCCAATTTGTCCCCATAGGTAAGGCCTGTGTGTATCTCTGTAAGGCGCCAGACACCGATCTACCACACTCTGTTACAGCAGACGCCCCTGAGCAGTGCCGCCCACACGGCGCTCCTCACTGAGGCTAGGGACCCTGGGCAGAGCGGCACTGTCACCACTGGACAGAAGAGGAAGCAGAGGTCAAGGAAGGCTCAGCGATCTTACTGCTTGTGAGAAGCACTCCTGTCTTTGAATGATTTGCCCTCCCAGTGACTTGTGAAACACCACGGCCCAGGCGGCCCAGGCGGCCCAGGCTGTGAAAGAGGCCAAACCTCACCCCCACAGTGGCGAGGTTTCTGCTCTGCTCGGGGTGGGGGGAGGGGGCCTGACTCCTGAGCAGAGGCTGAGACAACTGCCAAGCTGAGGAGGTCCTGAGATCACAGCTCCCCATTAATAAAAGAGGACACAGCACCATACACAATCTGGGTAAGCCTATACAAAACCCTACTGCCTCTACTCTAAACCAGCCGGGAGCCCAGTCAAGAAGCCCATCCAGGTGAGGGGCAGGTGGTGGGACCATCTCTAGCAACTTCCTGTTCTCAAGGTTTCTACAGCACTTGCCCCAAACAGTTTTGATGAGGATCTTTTCAAATAGAAAAAAAAAATTTCATAAAGGGAAACCTCCCTTTCTCCAAAACCTTCTGCACATAAGCCAAGGACTGATTGTATCTGACATGTGATTTCATAAAAATGCAGACCAGATCAGTCTCAAGCATGAGATCGCAACCTGTTGCTTCTCCACAGGAAAGCTATGTAGGTCATTTTCTAATGCCTGAGCAATTAATGCTATGTCATCTATAATAACTGCAAATGATTAAAAAAAAAAAAAAACCAGGAGATATTTAAAACCTGTAACAGACTGTAAGCATCCAAGCTGCCTATCTCCTGGCAAAATAATCAAAACAGAGACACTGCCATGAGGCTGTGAGCAGCAGCTGTGGAAACAGTACCTTGTGACACTTGCAAACAATTTCTTTTTCTTCAACAGTTGTGTTGATCAGGTAAGAAACATACACGAGAAACATTCTTGAACCCACTGTTCCACAGCGAACATACAACATTTTCTCCAGCTGTAACAAATTAAAATTTTAATCAAATTACTATCACTAAAGATCCTCCCCCCCCCCCGCCGATCTACATTCCAGGTTAATGCACCCCTCTTTTAGAGCTGACCGCCCCGACAGGCTTAACTCTGGGACACCTTTTCCAAGCTGTTCTTGCCACAGCCTATGAATGGACTCATTACTCCCCATCTTTGTTTTTCCCATCATCATTATCAACTTCCCAAGAACTCTGTTTGGCTTGGAAATAAAAGTTTGCTTAACGGTTACTTCACTGAGTTACAAACAACCGTTATTTTGTCAGCAATGAATTCTCAGAATTTGGGTCACTTGTTCTGAAACACACTGTAAAAAACTACGTCACTTTACATATTTAGTATGTAAAATGTGTGTAAAATGTCACTAGTTCAATCGCTTTGAAGTCCCAGTAGAGGCTGGGCAAATGCTCTGAAGCTAAAACTCGTATTTAAAATGACCACGGCATCGCGGTCTCCCCAGACACAGCCGGCGAGGTACCTGCTCCCCGGGGCGCAGGTCCCCCACGGGAATGTCGGTGAGCAAGGCGGGGTAGGACTCGTCGCACAGCTCTGCCCCATGGAGAGTCACGTGAGTTTTCTGAGTTAGGTTGGCATCCTGTCCTGCAAGAGTCAAGAGGCGTGTCGTGAGGAGAGCAGCCCGACACACGCGAACCCGGCACGCCGCGGGGGGGCGCTACCTGGACGCTGTCTCATGCTGATGCCGACTCTGTGCTGGACCAGGGCTGTTCACATGCAGAGACCACTCACCTGGCTTCAGACCTGCTGTGAGCTTCACGTCTCTGATCGTGGCCTTTTCGTGGGACTGCACGGTCACCACCAGGCAGTACATTTCATTAGTCAGCGCAGGAGGCTCGTGCCGCAGGAGGACAGAAATGTTTGGAACTCTGGAGATGATCCTGTGGGGGGAAACTCAGCTAAGTTACTGACTTAAAACAAACTTATTCAAACAAAGCACATGTGCGGGGAAACAGAGGCGGCCACGGCTGCCAAGCACGGGTGACTCACATGGTGCTGGCCTGGATGACGATGCTGTCCCAGTGAACCTCACTGTCAGGGAGTTTGGGGCGTCTTTTGAATGAGCGCGAGGCCTGCAGGGCTTCTTGGGAGGAAGCGGCATCGCCTCCTCCTCCCTGCCAATTTAAAACCACGCATCTTCCGGTCTCGTTGCCCAGAACCAGATCCACTGACGTAATCTAAGAGGAGGAGGCAGGGCGGAAATTCCATCTCTTTGTGTCTCAACACCCCCTCCCAACAAACCTCACTGCAGACTGCTGGCCGCAGAGGGTCCCAGGGGCCCTCGGGATAAGGCAGTCAGAATCCCGATGTCAGTCCTGTCCTGGCCACTGGTGAGCTGGGGCACCAGCTACCTGCACACTGGGCTTCAACCTCACCTTTACACAGACAGCTACCTGCCTTCCTAGCACTTCAATGATTTCAGCACCTGGCACAGGCCAGGCCCGAGAGGTGCTGCATAAGTGGCTGCTGAGTGAAAGAGAGGAATGTTCTGATAACCATGGACACACTCATAGCCCAATTCCTGATTCCACGTGTATTTTCCCTGTAGACATCTACAGTATTGGCAACAGAATTCCTTACTAAGTCAGTAATGTTCCTTTCAACTAAACCCACTAGCACATGTACTCAAACTAATATTAATTATGATTTAAAGTGCAGTAAATTTCCTTAGGTACCTTGTAAAAAACATGTAATTAGGGATTTAATAAAAAAATCTTTTTAAAGGAATAAGCAAAAAACTCTGAACACCAGTTAATAATAAAATCAATCAGTCCCAGAAACTGTTTTGGAAATACTGGTAGTAGAGTCTCATGTACCTTGGACATGGTTAGATTAACCCCAAGGTTAGATTAACCACGCCCTTCAAGACATGTACTTAATGAATACTAACTTAGCACTATTTCAAGCAATTTGCATTAACTGATTTAATCTTCATGAACCACTAAGAGGTTGGTACTAGTATTATCCACATTTTTCAGATGAATAAACTGAGACACAAAAGAGGCTCAGAAACTTCCCAGGGTCACAAGCTAGCTAGAAAATTGGAATTTAAATCCATGTACTTTGGCTCCAGAGTTTATGCTCAATAAGTACATTACTTTCATCACGTATTTCTGAAGGACACTTTTAATTATCTATAGTAAATGAATCTTCTAAAATAATCTTCATTTTTTTCCTTTAAAAATATGCAATCGATGCTTAAGCACAATGATAGAGCTCTTTGGTCAGAATTATGTCATATCATATAAAATATAATTGCTAGATTATACATAAATACACATCTTTTGTTTAAAAAAGTCACTGATTATACAGCCGTTAAAAATGACATTGGTCTTTTGAAGTACAGGAAATGTCTGACAAGTCATGTTACACTATTGAGGGAAAAAGTCAACTACAGAATATTATGTTCATTTCCCCAATGAAAGGAAAACTACCCAACCATTACCAAGTTTCCTGTGGGGAGTCCAAGTGGAAGATTTTCATTTTTCCTTAATAAAATTCTATATTAATTGAGATGTTTTGATGTACACATATTACTTTTATCATTTAAAATATTTTAAAACAATATTTCAACTAAGAATTTCACAACTAACCTCAATTTTCTTCCCCACATCTTCAGTTTTTGCAACAAACTTAAATAAATACTTCCTTGTTTTACCAGGAACTAAGCACATCTTTCCCTGAGTCAGATTTTCTAAAACTTCACTTGCTTTGGATGCTTCTTCAATGACACAGAACTGGTTGTATTCCTGAAAGAGATTAGCAAGGCTCACAGTTTATAAAACATCAAACACTGTGTGTTTTGCTAACATCAAATGACCCAGAGCTTATTAAGGTCAATTCCACTGAAAGCGAAGCACGATGAAGGGTGATTAATAAGAAGTAAATGGAGGGCCACCCTGGTGGCACAAGGGGTTAAGCACAGCACAGTGAAGCTGTCCGCAGCCTCTGCAGCACGAGTTCGATCCCCAGTCGGCCAGGGCACAGCAGACCTCTCCTGTCTCGCCTTCTGTTCCCCTCATCAGTGTATTTCAGGGATCTGCCTGTTCTGTTCCTCACTCTGTCTCTGGTGAATCCTCTCACTCTCCCCACACACCTCTGGCCTGTACCCCAGTTCTTGTGTGCATAAATAAATCTTACCAAAAAAAAAAGAAGTAAATGGAGATGCTTATTCATTCACTGCTGCCACAGTAAAGACCAGTCACTATAAGCAGGCAAAAAAAAACTATCTGTCCTCATGGAGTTGACATTCTAGTAAGGAAAACAAGTAATTTACCAAATCATCACAAAGAGCAAGCATGGCTGTGACACAGAGTGACTAGTACAACAGGCATGAGCACCTGGCCAGGTCACTGGTCATGTCAGAGGAGGCACCTGGGAGGAAGCGAGGCTTTCACGGTGATAAAAGACAGGAGGAAGCAAGCAGATGCAAGAGGCTAGAAGCAGCAGCACAAACAAATACATCTTATTAATATGGCACAATCTCTTTTGTATGTGGAGCCTGAAAGAGCAGAACTCACAGAGACTCAGACGGAATGGCAGCTGCCAGGGGGCGCAGAAGAGGGGAGGTGCTGGTGGAAAGACAGAAACCTCCAGCTCTGAGACAACAAGTTCCAGGGATCTAACGGACAGCAAGCTGACAACACCTCACAATAATACATCACATGCTTGAAAGCTGCTGAGAGCAGATCCCAAGTGCTCTCAGCACAGGCGCCAAAAAAAAAAAAGTGAATATGTGAGGTGACAGATGTTAACTGCCCTTACTGCAGTAATCATTTCACAGCCTGTATGTGCATCAAATCACTTCATCGTCTACCTTCAGCTTACACATTATATTGATTGTATCTCAGTAACGGTAAAAAAAATTGTTGGCTTGGGGGAAAAAAGCTCCTGTCCTTTATTTATCCTCTCCTTTTTCTTTATTCTCAAAAGTACTTAGTCTCTGTAAGTACCCAATTACCCAAACTGATCTACTTTTAAATGGCTCTTGATCCCTTTATCTCCATTCCCAGCACTAGCACACCTACCCAAATCCTCCCCATGGTTTCACATACAGAGCTTCTGCAACAGTTGGGTTTCCAGTGTCATTTCTTTCCTTCTATTTTGCTACTGGAAAAAATTTCTTAATAAATTTCCTATTCTTGCTTTAAAATTCTCAAACTGCTTAGAAGGAATGTTTGAGTAATGGGTGAAGTTAAATAAAACACACTAATCTTCAGGAGACCCAGGTTCATCTAACCAATTACAGGGACAATTCTTGGTTCTTATGAGCCCGAAAAGGGTAAGACTCTTTCTCTGCCCTTTCTTTGTTATCATCCAGCCGAGAGACACAAGAAAGAAGGAAGGAAGGAAGGAGACAGGAAGAAAGAACGTAAGTGAGGGAATCTTAAAAGACTTCTCTTAACTAGCCCGTCTGCTGAATTGTCAAGCTCCTGTATGTCCCCCAGCCCTACCCCAGCCCACCCAGTGGCCGCTGCCCCATGAGCCACTGCCTTCACTTGCCCATAAGCAGAAAATGTGCATTCCTGCTTCCATTCAGCGCTGTCTTGTTGCCAAACATGTTCTCCCTCTCCCATCTTTTTACTCCTATCTTAATTTCATCTTCATTCTTGAAACTTCCTCCCTTTTCTTTGGCCTGTCTACGGTAGCTGGATTACTGGCCCGCACACATCACTCAGCCTTCATCCCTACCTGGACAATCTCTGAGTCAGTTCCGGCCGCGGCCCCACAGGCTTTTATTTTAATGGAGTTCACATGTGCTAACTTTTTTCTGGCTCAAGATACTAAAAATGTTGTAACTCTCAATATAAGCTGGCTGGTTAAAGATTGAGAATACTTCCGAGGTGACTTGCTGATAATGATCAATTAAGTGAGCTTATAACTTAAAGAGTTAAAATATAATCAAGTACTTGACTATTCTGTTACCACATTTCAAAAGTGTTCCAATGCAGGAAATGTAGTATGATTCCAAAACATCTAGACTATTCCAGAACTTAGTAGTGATGTTGTCTAGGGAATGGAATGGGAGGAAAAACACTTTTCACCAAATCTATCTTTTCCTTTCCTGCTTGATATCAAGTGTCCATCTTATAATAATACATTACTACCAATGATAAAACAATAAAAACAAAAGCTTTTGAAAATTGGAGTATATTCATACGGAATATCTTTCTTATTTGAAATTCAAGTTATATATTACCAAAAATAGAGTTCTCAGATTTCATAAGCATGGAGTAAAAACATAAAATAAAGTAGAAACATTTATTTTGAAACACGCCATACCAAGGTCCATTTCTTTTTACAAAACCGCAAAGGCCTCAGGTTCACCAATCTTGTTTTATCTAATTTAACGGCAGCCACTAGATACATACATAGTCAAAATGCATGAAAAGGCATACCATTACCTGATTATTAAAGCTGACACAGAGTTTCGAAAACCTAATGGGATGTGGACAATCAGCCTTCAGATAAATGTCAAACTGCACAGGAACATCAACATGAAAACTTGGAGCGTGGAACTTGGCCTTGCATTGTACTAGAAATAAAACAAAAAGGACTGAATCACACAACAGTGGACACTCCAGACCCACAATTATTTCTGATCCACATTAACTTTTCAGAAAGGAGGGATCTACACTGCACATTCTTAGTGATTTTGGCACATAAAGTGCTTCGACAGACATGAATATAGCTCCAAACCCACATCTAACTTGGAAAAGATAGTGGCTCCTGAAATGTAACTCACAGGATTTCAAAGAAGGGAGAAAAAGATTTTGCTATTTTTAACTTATTTCAAAATACCATTAAAGCATAGGGGCCTCCCCGGTGGCACAGCGGTTGAGCGCTGGGCTGCGAAGCTGCCTACAGCCTCTGCAGCACCGGTTCGTTCCCCGGTCACCGGGCGAGGGTCCCACATGGCGCCCGCTGCTCCCCTCAGCAGTGTACTTCGTCACTCTGCCTGTTCTACTCTCTGCTCTGACTCTGGTGAATTCTCTCACCCTCCCGCGCCTCTGACTGTACCCAGTGCTTGTATAAATAAATCTTTAAAAAAAAAAAAATACCATTAAAACATAAACCATGAAATAACTATTTTCAAATGCATTTCAAATAACTGAACTGCACACAAAGTACATTTTACATATGCTAAGCTTTTAAAATTGTGATCTTCATAAGCCAGTGGGGAGAAAGAAATCACAGCTTATGATGATAGCACTTTTGAAAAGTCTCTGACTTGTCTTATTTCTTATTGTGCATCTTCATTTTGTAGAAACAACAACTTCTGTGAAATACCACAACGTGCGGGCTACCCACCGAAGGGCACGAAGTCCTGCACGCCTATGGTGAAGACGTTGCTGCCAGCCAGGGAAACGCGGTCCGCCCACAGCTTCTGAGCAGCTTTCACAGCTGCGACATCACAGTCAGGTTCAGGCTCAGGACTTTCATTCTGCACCAAGACAGAGTTAAACATTCCCTCAACTAGATATAAAAAATACAACACAGACACACAGACACAGATCTGGGTGTACAATCCTTGAGACACAGTTTATATCCACAAATCCAACCTACCATCAAAACATTTATGAGGTTCTTTTCAATCCGAGATTTCTGATCATCTTTCAGAGTTGAAGCTAACATGAAGGAGGAAAAAAAAATTAGAACTTTGTAAGACAAGACAGTGAGCTCACTCCCCCCACTGGAGAGATTAAAATAGTATAAAATGAGTATTTCTGCTAAGATGATTAAGCACAATTCCAGCAAGTTCTCAGCTAGCATGTTTCTAAATACTAGCCTGACACTTTACTCTTGCATGTGACCTCTATGCGAAACCTGTTCTATGCCACACCTGAAGAGGGCAGAGGAAGTTGGGCCTTCAACTCTAGTTGATCCATGAAAGTATTCACTTAGCAAAGTGACGTGCACTTGGTAAAAGTACCACCAAATACTTGCAAACAAATTATTCTTCCAATTTTGAGAGGCTTATTGAAGCTAAGTAATTTTAAAGATTCAGAATTGAACTGAAAGAGTACCAAGCTACCTCTTCCGAGGAGTTCCAGGGAGTAAGTGATGTAATCTTTCAGCTGGGCCATGAGGTAGGAGCACTGCAGAGCTGTGGTCAGTATGGACGTGAGCAGCGTCCACCAGCCTTCGCTGCGATAATCACACATCACATAGTCCAGCAACCTAAGGGCGGGCAGGACGTAAGTGGATTCCCAGGTAGGGTCTGGCCAACTCTCAGAAAATAAAGTGCTTTCCCCAGTTAATATAAACTTCAGAAAATCTTAATGTGTGAGTTTAACAGGGATCTCCACAGTTAGCTATACACGTGGTTGCCCTAAGACTTAGAAAATGACAGTACTAGGAGGTGGGACTAGAAAAAACAACACAGAAATGGAATTTAATAGAAGCAGAAGTAACTATGGGGAACAATCAATCCTTCTATACAAATGTTACTTATAATTTTGCTGCAAGGTAATCAGAATACTTGTAAAAAAAATAGTGAACGGGACTCACTTCAAAGCTTTGGTATAATCCTTTGCATAATAATACTCCTCGCCCATCTGAACCACTATAAAAGAAAAAGCATGTTATGCACATAATCTAAAATTATTCGAGGTGCAGGACTGCAGCATGGCGTGGGTACCTACTTAGATGACTTTTCATTCTTGGACACTTATACTTCTTAAATTGTGCAACAGCATTGCTCAGAAGAGTTATTATTATTTCCTGTGAGGAGAAAGTGTGAAATAAAAATCATTTCATGTATTCCTCAAATCCACAAAAACAGCTTATATATAGCAAAAAAGAAAAAAACTTACAGAGTGAACAACACTTCTCTCCTTCAGCTGGATGGCGAGAATCCCTACCTTCTCCTTCTCAGGATCGGAAAGATCGAAACCTGTATACGACAAGACACAGCCCATCTCAGACAGCTCATTGAGCACAAATGCTCACAGGACATTGGGTGGGTACACTCCTTGAGTCCTTTACTTTCATGTAACGTATTCAAGACTCTTAAACATTCTAGAATTTTAAAGGTTCTAAGAGACAGCTTTATTAGCAGGGAAGCTTTTCTGTGATCTCTACTCTGAAGAGAACAGTACTAAGCTCAAAATTCTTTTGCCAAGTGTCATCAACCACCTGAAGACTACCGTCAATGCCAGCCCTGACATTAAGAAGTTGTTCAAATAATTTAAGTGAACGATAAACACAAAAAGGATGCAGGGAAATTATTTTCAAGGTGACTCAGGTTAATGCTATTTGAAAATGTCAAACATCATAAATGGTCCAAGCTAACTGGAATTAAAATACGTAAGCAGACCAGAGTAGTTCATAGTTGTGTTAAGACAACAGATGTCCAATTGTTTTCATCACATACACATCTTTAATTATATGTCCAAGACTTATTCTAAGATTTATGAAATACACCAAACATTCTAAAAATTAAAGAAATAAAATCTTTAAAACACAATGCTTAAAAGGCACAGACTTTTATCTCGACATAACTTCTTATGCCTAATGCAACCAATGGAAAAATTATGATACAATCTTTGCCTTTTGAAGTTGAGAGAAAAGGAGGAGGGAAAATTATTTACTTAGTATTCCTTGCCGCCATGACCTTTGTCCATAAAAGTCAAGAACGCCTGTTTGTGTTTCTAAGGGATCAGGACTGGGATACGTTACAGATGCCTGTAAATTAAAACACAACCCTAAATAAGAGTTTACGTGCCCATCACAAACCAACTCTCCCTCCATCTTTGACAGAATAAAAAGGTTTTCACAATTATAAATATCAAACGCATTCAAATATCAAAGTTGTAAACATTTTAAGAAATTACATTTTCACAAAAATTAAAGTAAAAATGTCTTATTCACTATTTAGACAGCCTCGCAGACACTAAACTGAGCAAACCCATCTGATTCTGACAAGTGACTTCACAGTACTTCTTTAGTTTTTACCTTTGCTATAAAAACCAATAGAAACGTACTACAAAATATGCTTCATGTTTATTTCACATGTGAAAGAGTTTTTAGTGTAAATGAAAATAACGCTATGAGAGACTTAAAGAGAAGACATATTTTCTTCTTAATCACTTATATAGTAAGTCCTGGTACTGGTAAGGGGAGGGATATTTTTAGCACCAGAATTTACAAACTTACACTGCCTTTTCTTTCTTATAATTTTTCCCTTCTGAAACCAACATGCAATGCCATTACATTGTTTAAAAATGCAGAAAACACCCAAAAGGAAAAGGGTGAAAATTTTAATTACCTATAAACCTACCACCACTATTAATAAATGTTATTCTTCCAGACTTTGTATGCAAACGTGTCACCTGATACTCTTCTACAGCATTATTTCCCACAGTGTCTGCTGCTGCTCCACATTTTAAAATACTCCTTAGAGTTGTTCATCTTGTTATTTCTACTTTACACTACAATTAATAAAGCTAAAAAATGACTTCATAAATAAATTCTCTACTTATCTCTTGGGCTCTCTTATCTGCTTTAGGTTTCCTGAAAATGAAATTCTGGGTCAAAATATATGTAGGCATCTAAGTTATTATTTGACTGAAATTTTATTTTAATTCCAACAAGTAATATTTATTAATGTCCCTTTCCTCATACTTATAAAAACTAGTTTCAATCACATTAAAATACTATGTTCAAACTACAAAATGACAACCTTTTAAAATATAAAACATGCACTATAGTTATAAATTACATATAAATAACATAGTAGAAAATAGTCTAATTATATCATGATATAAGGGGGAAAAATCCATATATTTAAAGCACTAATATGCACATGATAATACTCACCTATCTTCACAGAAGAGTGCCAATCTTAAGTGAAACATGATGTAATTATACGAATGTAAATAGGTATATATGTGCTTAAGGAGAAAGTGGTGTCTATAATCATCCAAGAAAGAGGGAAAATGAACTGTTAAATTTTTGAAACTATGCATTAATGTCATGCCTCAGGCAACTTGGTGAGAGTTGTTCCCAGAGGACAAGGACAGGGAGAGACAGGGGCCTACAGTTCTCTCTGGCCGGACCACACAAGGCCTCCCTCCAGAGAGTCCTTCAAGCTCTCCGGCTGTGATCACAGAACCAAAACAATGGATTTACAGCTTAGCAAAGACTGAACTGTGGCTTTTATGTGAAAGTACTTTGCTCTTGTCTAAGTCACTAATGTGTTGAATTACCAATCACAAATCGGTTCTTCAAAGAAAAACTTCTGCTTAATTCACAGCGACAGTGGAGGACTCAGGCTACAGCTGAAAATAACCATAATTCCCCAAAACATAAAAGAGAAAAACTGGTTGTATTCAAAGGTTCAGAAAACAGTACCGACATCAATCAGCCTTCTTTTCTTCCAAGAGAAGGTTAATAAGCTTCCTAAAGAGTAGATAAGACAAGAGTCAAGAACTTACTTCATGGCTACAGAGGGTCTTCGCGAGCTGTTTCCGCTCCTGGGCGTAGTATGCTGCCTGCTGGTAATAGAAACCAGGGTTCTGAGTCTGTATAGCTGTCAACCCTAACTTAATAGCTTCGTCAAACAAATCGCCAAAGGCCTGGAATCTTAAAGAAAAAAAAAAATCAAGAACTAAAAAAGGATGAAGAAAGAAAGAGGAAAGAAAATGTAGCCCTCTAATAATTTATGATGCTGGAGTCATAAACTCAGTGGACTATATTAAGATAATGCTACTGATTAGCCAACTGCTACTTGGGATTGGTCTGTGAACACAAACACATAGCTAACTGTAGGTTACAGATAAATTCTGAATTTAACTCAACTCTCCTGTAGCTGCAAGTCTTTACAAATGTTCCACAAGCTAGATGTCCATCTAGTTCCCACCACTTAAGTACACCCACATTTCTGCAGACAGTTTCATCTTAGCCATTTTCAAACACCAGTCGCAAACAGCAAGGTCTCTGAGAGCAGATAGTCTGTTTTACTCCCTACCACATACTCAGCACCTAGACGAGGTGGAAATCTAATACGCACATGCTGAACAACCGAGATGGTGCCATAAATTAACTGACTTGCATTCAAAAACTGTATAAAGCAGTATCTCCTATTATTGAAAACACAGGTAACCTAGATCATTAAAAAACTACTCACTGACAAAAATCTTTGTGCAGTTTAGAACCAAAGTCCTTGCTAATTCCATTCCTGCAAATCCCAAGTATTTTTAAAAGCAACATGCTAAAAGTATAATTTATAACCTACTGTTTAGACATCCATGCAGCATGCTCGAAAGCCAGCTCTGCACTTCCAATTTTTTTCTTACATAGGTCGATGTGTTTTCGAAACTGAGCAATTGCATCCAGTGGGGTATTGTGCTGAAAACACAGCCGACAGATCTGCAAAATGTACAATTAGCCCAAATGAAGGAAATGAAAATCAACAGGCACATTCAATGAAAACTGTAAAACTTGAGAATAATTTTAGAGTTCTTTGCAGTTTCTCCAACAGAATGGTAAGGGTTATGCTAAAAACAGGCCCCTCTACTAAGTGAAACATTCAGGATTTGTACTGAATCTCTTCTATACATTAGGAAAGCTACATAAAAATATAGAATAAAAAATATTACACTCAGTGAATGTAAAAATGTGCTAATATAAAATATCTCCTCCAACAGGTTAACTGACAAAGGGGAGATTAACTTTCAGTTTTAGAACTGTCAGAAGCTTAAGATTTTCTGTCACACAATTAGAGAACAGGCAGTAGTCTCCATATCAAACAAGGACTACAGACACTCTTGAAAACTTCTTGTTTGGATGATATTTCAACACAGTAACAACCAGATGTACGCAGGGCAAAAGTAGAATCAAAGTTTAAATTTATTTCCATCTGTTAACTCCATTTTAATTGTATTTTTTTAGTTACAAAGGCATCCATGGCAAGTCAAATCTCTCCTCCATCCTAGCCTTCAGCCATCCAATTTCTCGTCCCAGAAGCAACCAGCTCCTGCTGAATGTTTCCAAATACTGACTAAGCAAGCTAGTGGTGTGTGAATTTATATGTATGCCATTGTTTTCGAATAAATAGTATGCCTTACTTTTTTCACCTAACAGTATATCTTGAGGAACACTCCATATCAACATATGGCGTTACTTCACACTTAGTAGCCATGTAATAGTCTATCGTCTGACATATTTCTATTAGCCAATCACTTATAGCTGGGTTGTTTCCAATCTCTTCCTATCACAAGCTGAAATGAACACCCTTACACAGGAGATGTACAAGTCTCAGCATGTATGTCAGATAAATTTCCTGAAACAGAATTGCTAAGTCAAAGGGAAGATTCACTTTACATCTGTATAGTCCCTGCAAAAATAATCTCTATAGCAGCGGCCCCAACGCATGCCAACACTAATTCAAAGTGTCTATCTGCCCTCAAGTCACCAATCCAACGTCAGGCATCTTTAAGAGATGAGTGTGGAAAGATTGAAAGCAAAATAAACAGCTTTCCCCTGTCTTCTGAGATATTCATTTCTACCATAAGTAATCTTATAATGCTTAAGCAGTAGGGATGAAAGGTTCCTCTAAAGAGAAAACACATACACCTTTCTAGAGTGTGCCAACAATGTGGGCACTTTCTTCTCATCATCCCTGTGCCCACTAAAAAACAAACAAAAAGCAAAAGACCCTCTGAAACAAACTTTATACAAATACACCTGCTCTAAATGAGAACTCTGGGACCCATAAATCAAAGAACCAGGGCACTCCTTGACAGAGGAGGCAAAATTAAAATTAACCAAAAACTCATTTTGCAGAGTAATTTTGATTTTCAAAATTTAGGAGATAATCTAATATTGAAAGACAAATTCTCATTATTTAGAAGTAGAACCATTACCTTGTAGTTTATAAATCCTGCCATAGTCTTGATTTCCAGAATATTTGTTTCATGGGCTCTTAATTCATGTACAAGAGTGTAAGCGACCCTATAATTCCTAATATAAACATGGAAAGTTGGTTAATTATAATATAAATTTTAAAAAGATTCCTAAGAGCAAAATTATTAGAAATGAGAGACAATATTAATTCGACATTTCTTAACATTCAATAGCTCAACTTATCTCTACTTTCCTAAAAATTTATATATAATAACACGTGCACAAGGAATCACTAACTTTTCACTGAGAACCATCACACATACATTGTTCCCTCGGTCATTTAACATCTGCCAAAAATTGATGAAAATAAGTTGAGGACTTCCCTGGTGGCACAAGGGTTAAAGTCTCAGTGCTATCAAGCTATCACCAGCCACTGAGGCATGAGTTTGATCCCAGCGAGGGAGCTGACCCACATGGCGCAGCCGACCTCTTCTGTCTCCCCACTGCTTCCCTCAGCAGTGAATTTCGGCAGATCCACCTGTTCTGCTCCCCACTCTGTCTCTGGTGAATCCTCTCACCCCACACACCTCTGGTTTAGACTCCAGTTCTTGAATGCATAAATAAATAAAAAATAAATCTTTTAAAAAAAAGTTGAAAAATGAAAGTAGACATTTGTCCAAAATTATGCTGAAAAATAACATTCTGTTACAAAAATAAGTGTTTTTCTAAAAGCACCACTGGCAACTTCTTGAACTAACAGAAACTGTATTAGCCATGATGGTGCTATCATGACGGAGCATAGGTCGACATCTTTCACGCCCAAGCACATCACGGATTAAGTGGCTCTCGCTGGTGCACTGAATGGCGGGGTCGGGCTGTTCTGGGGCGGGCGGCTAGTGCACAGACAGATGTGTCAGGAGAGCCCAGACAGAGGCCTCCACAGGGAGGGAAGGTGATGGAAGCGTCTCAATCGTCTCCAAAGAAAAGTGCTTGTTCTTTACTTCACCAGGTAAGGTTTCTTTCTACAAGTCATTTTACGTAGAAGTGGAACTGAAGGTGTTTTGCTAATACCAGCAATAAAAATGAACTACACTCAAGTCAGCCATACTTATGTCAGTTATTCATGAAACCGCTGAGATTTAGAGAACACAATTTGATGCTCTGCACTACCCTAAAAACCAAAAGGGTTTCTGTAATACTTGTCTGAACAACAGAACTATTTTATTTCTTTTTCTCCCTTAGCCTCTCCTCATTTGGAGTATCAGCTGTTATTACCACTTCGTTACACTGCCACTGCCGATCTTCAAAAAGAGTTATTTTGCTCAATTGTGTTTAGAAAATGCAAAGGAATAAAATGTTTAATTGCTACCAATACATCTGGAACTACTCTTCAAAGCTCTAAGCAGAGCACATGAATGAATGCCACTGACAGACATTATAAACTAAAAAAATATTAAATAAGTGCACTGTATACCTTTAAAAATTTTGAGTTTGGTTTAGGTAATGTTTAATGGAAAGCTCTGGAAATGTCTCCCCACCAGGATTTTATGAAATATTTCAAGTAAGAAAATTGATTATTGGATGGAAAAATTTATATAATATTCTATTCCTTTAGATGATGAAGTTTAATTAAATTAAACCAGAAACCTTTATGACGCTACAAAATTTAATTCCAATGAAAGACTTTTTTTAAAATCTCAAAATATTCAAATAACCTCTAGACAAACTAAAGTATACACTACATGCCTGAATATAACCAACACAGACATTTTATAAGGAAATAAAGTTTGGCTGAGATTGTTAACATGAAGAAAAATTCAGCAGCACAGCTGTTAGAAACTTACTTCAGAGCATTTTGTGTATCTTGTTTCAACTCACTGAAGAAAGCTATTTTGAACTGATGTCTAACAAATAAAAGCTGAAAAAAGAAGAGGAAAAACATACCATCATTACACACATTATCTTAAAAAAGTGAAATTTACGTTTACTCAAAGGTGACATAAAAGAAGGAAAACAATCAAAATTAAAGTTCAAGAATTACTTCTAAAGAAGTTTATAGTTAGGAAGTCTATAAAAATCTAACTTTAAAAACCTTAAGGGCAAGACCTCCCTGGTGGCACAAGGGGTTAAGCACAGCTCTGTGAAGCTATCTGCAGCCTCTGCAGCACAAGTTCTATCCCCAGTCGGCCAGGGAGCTACCCACATGGGAGCAGACCTCTCCTGACTCGCCCTCTGTTCCCCTCAGCAGTGTATTTCAGTCAGTCTACCTGTTATGTTCCCCACTCTGTCTCTGGTGAATCCTCTCACCCCCCACCTCTGGCCTGTACCCCAGCTCTTGTATGTATAAATAAATAAATCTGTAAAAAAAAAAAAAGAAAACCTTAAGAGCAAATGTATAGATTCACTTTTAAAGTTTTTTAAAATGCTATGAAAGCTATTAACATCACTGAGAAACATCAAAGTGTTACCAACGTTTAATCACCCTGACCCCTCGGTGACAACGAGCATCTCTAGAATGTGCCATTGCTTCCTATTCAGGGAATCACATACCTGGTGTGTTGTTTTGTTCAAAAATTCTTTATGAGATTTCACTCTTCTGATCTCATTGTAGTAATAAGTCTGTGCATGCTCATAAAAGGCATTTTCTAATCTGTTTAAAAAAAACACACATTCAAATACTAAAGCTATCTTAAACTGAATGGTTTTCAAGACTCACATTTGTAAGACTTGAGAATAAAATCCTAACAGAGACAATGTCTAGTTTACAGTACCATTAAAATTAAAAAATTAAGTGACATATAACCTGGGTTTCTAGGTAAAATATCTAAAAATAATATTCCCCAACCACCTAAAATTATTTACATTACAAGATACAAGTGATAACTTTTTTGTCATTTAAAAAAATCTAGTTAATCTCTAAAATTACTTCCATCTCCATTATTTTATAATTTCAAAAACCATCTGAAAGAGACAGATGATACAGAGATATGGCTATGCTTTTGTGATTTTAATACTAAAATTTAAAGAACACGAAAATCAACAGGAAAGGACCAAAAACATCACTTGGCAAATGAGGTAAAAATATGTCTGATTTAAATCCTGCTTCACCCTTAACCATGAGAGATGAGTAACTGACTCAAAGCTCGTTCTATTGAGAGAAGTCCATGTCAGGTCTGCCCTGGCAAAGCATCAGTGCCAACACGGGTGGGTAAAAGCTGACTGTCAAGGTGTTTTTTCCTCAGAATAAAAAGAATTTTGAAACTGTATTTGAAGGGTTTAAAAACACCTAAGGAATTAATGTAAAGGAAAAAAATAAAACATCTGAGTCAAGACTTTAAAAATCAGATATATTTTCTACTTTGAAAACTAGTTTTTTAAATGTGAAAGTATTAAAATTTGTTCTAGCTTTGAGCAATATAGATGCAAAGAACACAGACTCCCTTCAGCATCCCCTGCTCTGAGGTCACAGACAAACACCTCATGATGTCACCCCTCACCTTCAAAGAGCCGCCTCGGCCCCCTGGGGCGCTCATCTGCTTTTATTGATATACCAGTCGCTTGGACACTGCACTTTTAAGAAAGGATTTATAAAGATATTCAAAATATGGTGGGGCTCAGAGCCTTCTTAAAAATTATATCTTAAACATATATAGCAGTGCATCAAAACATGAGGCAAAGCAGGCCAGACATGGAGACAACACTCTTGAAAGGGCAAAAGCGTCATAAAATGACAGTAATGCCACAGGACATGAAGCTAATTACTGGGAAGTACTTCAGAAACCAGTGAAACATTAAAAGGAGAAAGAAGTGGACCGAAATACAAGTACGGGAAGGTGACAAGGAGTTCATGACAAGTGGCTGAGCACCGCGCCCTGCACGGCACGTTGAATAAAGATACACAAACACAGAGAGGCAGGTTTTGGAAGGAAACTTAAGTTGTTGGAAGGAGTTGCCAAGAAATGAGAGAATGCTAAGAAGCTGTCAAAGGAGCTTTTATTTTTATCTTATAGCCTCTGGACCATTAGAATTTTTCTCTATAACCATGTGGGGTTTTTTTGTTGGTTTTTTTTTTTTAACCAAATGAGATTGAGCTACCAATTTCTCAATCTTAATGAAAAATCAAGGAAAAAATGTCAAAGACCTTACTGACCTTATAATATAACCCACCAGGTGGTCGGTGTGGGGCAGCACGAACAGGGACTTCCCCGAGAGTTCACAGGCGTTACACAGAGCGGCAGCCCTCTCGGAAGCAATGACATCCTCCCCTGAGGGCACAGGCCACAGAGATAAAAGAGAAAATAATTCACGTGTCTTCCTAGAGGAATATTTCCCCACTCGAGTGGTAAAATTAGGATAAAGACCCAAACCACTTTTCACCATGGCAGCAGGTCCCAGGGATCCTTGAGAGTTCTGGGGTTCTTGGAAGTTACACCATACATATATTAGGAAAATGCTGGAATTTTCCACTGAGCCAAGATAGAAAAAGCACATAATGCCAACAGATCCACACATAACTATTTGAAAAACCACAACTAAAAATGGAAGCAATAATGCACGAAAGAACCTTCCAAAACTGTTTAAGATGTTACACGTTTCAACACAGAAATAAAAAATATTTTGGTCTGCGAAAATCTAAGAAGGTAGAAGAAATAAGCACTTGAAACTAAAACTGCTTATAGGAAATTAGAAATTCTATAGAACTTTTCTTTGCCCTACTGTAAATTAGGGAAGTCAACAATTTCAAACAGATCTAAGATAAGCTGAGTAATAACTTTTGTCAACTGACACAAGCCAACATGGTGAGGTAGGTACATGGGGAAGAGACTTAAGATTTGCCCTATTATTTTTAATTTTTTACAATAAAACATTTAATCACGCATTATCAGCACTTTTTAAAGTGAACACACTACCTTTCCCATAATTGAATGCACATAACATTTTAAAAATTATGCCTCCTGGTAATAAGAATTGGTGGTATAAAATAATCTTTTGATACCTGGGGGCAGAGGGGTTTTCTTCTGAATCAAAACCACTGCAACTTTTGTGTTTCTCCCCTGCAAACTTTGCCTACAATGAGAAAATAAAGTTAATTAAATAACTGTTTCAACTTTAAACAATGAACTCGAGGCTTGAATTTAATTACAAGCTTGATATTTCTACTGAAGAAGATAAATTCCCCGAGATTACAAGTTATCTTTTCTGCAGACAAAGAATCATCTATACCAAAATGATTGAAATTTTAAAAGTATAATCTCACATCATCCATGACTGACATGTGGAAAGCACAATCTCACCTCAAGCTTCTCTTTACAAAAATCTACGTTAAGAGCAAATGTTTAATACAGACTTTGAGCAAAAGTTGTAACATGTCTCATTTCTTTATAGAACTACATTACAGTCATCCAAAAGAATGACTTGTTCTGAGACTGAAATGGTGATAATGTGTGTGTTATCACCAGCAACTAACATACCCCAAAAAAACCACCATAAATGCATGAAAAAGCAACTGGAAATTCAGACCAACTCGTCTCCAACATTTCTTCTCCCACCTGAGTGTGATGCAAATCAAGATCAAGGCTGCCGACTGGGAGCAGGACAAGTTCCACGGGAGGTCAGCTACCCCCAAGGCCCCCTCTAGCCTGAACGGCACGGGCCCTACCCGCAAGCCCATCTGCAAACCACGTGCGCCCCGAGAACCGTGGGCGCACGTGGGTGGGGAGCCCAGACCTGACGATCTCCACTCTGGTCGCGCACTCGGACTGCTTCTCCTTCCACTGAGGCTCATCCCAGTCGAGTTCATAGAACACAACCACCAAGGCTGGCACCAGGTTCAGGTGCTTATTCATCCAGCCGGTCTTCAGGATGCCTTTAGGGATGTACCACTCATACGACGCTCGCTGCAAACAAGGGCCAAAGGAGAAGAGGATCATGTGATGACGACAGCAGCAGGAACTGCTAGTGCGTGCAGGGCACGCTAAGTGCCTTTCCCTCATCATACATCCGCCCCCCGCTTTGGAGAGGAGGAAGTTCAGGCTCACAGAAACCAGAGAGAGCCGGCCCGTGCTACAGGGAGACTCTCAACCCCAGGGTCCCGCGGCTTACACGAAAAGCACTGCCAGAGTCCAAACATCTCTAAGGATGCCAGGGCTCTCGAATCCCCTAGAAGCCAACAGCCCCTCTTCACGTGGATTCTACGTCTATTCCCTGCCATTCTAGTTTCTGTTCCTGTAAAAGCTGGTCAAAGAAAACACCACCTAAAGGCCAACACGGCTTCATGTGCTTCCGAGCCATGTCACAGGACAGCACTGCCCCTTCCCTGTGGCTGGAGGAAAAGTGCAGCAAGAGTCACGTGGGGTCAGCACTGCGTGCCCCGCTGTGGAGGATGGGGCAGGGGTGCAGGACTGAAGAAGACAGAGGAGACCGTAGGTAGTCCTGAAGCGCCTCACTGACTCGGGCTGCTGCGGCTCGTGCTGGTCCACCGTCTACTGCATGCAAGGACCAGGCCAGGGGGGAGACCTGACACATGAAGTGTGGGGACTCAAGGACGAACAGGGAAATGCAAGCTCTCCAGCTGCAGAGTAAGAGACGAGCAAAGGGGGCTCAGTTGCCTGGGCCACAGGCATTCCTTCCCATAAAACCTCATTAAAAGCCATGTGCAGGGTCTCCCCGGTGGCGCAGCGGTTGAGCGCTGGGTTGCGAAGCTGCCCGCAGCCTCTGCAGCGCCGGTTCGATCCCCGGCTGCTCCCCGGCCACCAGAGGAGGGTCCCGCATGGTGCGCAGACCTCTCCTGCCGCCCACTGCTCCCCTCAGCAGTGTACTTCGGTCCTTCTGCCTGCTCAGCTCCCCACTCTGGTTCGGTGAATTCTCTCATCCTCCCGTGCTTCTGACTGTACCCAGTGCTTGTATAAATAAATAAAAATAAATCTTTTTAAAAAAAAAACAAAACGTGCAGGGCAGGAGGGGATGGCACAGTCTTCACAGAGACACATTATTGTCATACAAAAGAATGACTTGGTTTGAAACTGACATGGTGGTTAACACGAGTGTTTTATAGCAGCAACTCGCTATATCCAAAAAAAAACCCTATAAATGCAAGAAAAAGCAACTGGAAATTTAGACCAAATCATCTCCAATATTCTTCTCTGACCATCTCTCAGAAAGCAATGCTTGAGGGCAAAGAAACCGTGGGTGATTTATTATTCTGATCGCCATCTCTTATCAAATGACTCTCAGAGCAACCTGGTAAGATTATAACAAGGACTACATCACCCTACGCAACTTTCTTAAGGAAGCAAAGTTACAGAGTAAGCACTACATTTGTATTAGCTGCTATTATGAATTATTATTTTTATTATTTCATTATTATTACTTAATAATAATAAAAATTATTTTTCCAGGTAAATCAGTCTTCACTATGATTTTCATCCTGAAAATTAGTTTTGAACTTCGTGAAACCTCTCATCCCACACTGAACAAATTGTTTTGGTTCATGTATAAAACTCCCCACAGAGAACGTGTCTGACTTGAATTTCCACCAGCAGCCTGCGGCTCAGCTCCAGGCGCCCAGCACAGAGCAAGCGCTCCAAGCGGCTGTGACACTGGACAGAGCTGCGGGAGGCTGCGCCGTGACGCTGGGGAGGAAGACCGGGAAGGCAGGGCTGCCAGGGGTCCTCGCAGAGGCTGAGGCTTTTTTTTTTTAAATAAGAACAGGAAAACCTGGGCCCAAGAGATATAGAATACCCCACATTTCTAAAGTACTCATTCCTCCGGGGGTAAAACAGAACCATTATTAAAGATGCCCGCAGCGTATCACCCCCTGGAAGCACCCGGGCATTTCTTCCTGTGTGACCTTCCCTCGGTGACCCCAGGGCCTTCCCAGCTCGGGCAACGGGAACGGATAGAGACACGCATAATGGGAGACAGGGCGCGCAGGAGAGCCCAGGTGGTCACGGCGCCATTACCTTGGGTCTACATTTGGGATACTCATGGTCACCGGGGAGCACCTTGAAAGAAATTGGCACCCGATCAGCCCTCCGATTGGCACAGAAGGCATCCCAGACAGCCCGATGGACAGCGTTGTAAACCACATCCAGGCCCGTGAGGGTGACGAACGCCATTGGCCGGCAACATAGTTCCACAGGGAAGTCCCACTGTGTGGGGCTCATGTTCAAGGCCTCTCGCAAGTTCTGAAACACAAACATGAATACATTCATAATTGAGTTTTTAAAAGGCCACTTCCATATCTAATGTATGAACCTCCACCATTTTAAAAATACAACAAAAAAGGCAAAAAACTTTTGAGGGTCTGCAAACTGTTGAAGAAATGCAGAAGTGAGCAAAAGAGAAAACTTTAAATTCTGAAATGGACCTATTAAAATGTAACAAGCTTTGGAATTTTTATTTTAAATCTTCCCTATTACAAAGGTTGTAGTCAACTTTAAGACAAACCTGTACTTTTAATAACACCACAAAATGCACACAGAACTTTGGAATAAGCAGACCAAGAAAGCAGGAAGGTGATAAAATTAAAAGAGATCTCATGATCTATATCATCAGTAAGAGAAATAATTATTGCCTTACATATACCATAAAGTACAACCACCTCTACTTTCTCTATAATTACTGACATCTAATTTCCCAATTCTTGGAACACTGGTAAGCAAACATACCAAATATGTTTTCTCAATTCACCACAATTAATATGAAAGGTACTGCTTAAAGGACAACCTAGAGGAAAACACTAATAATGAACAGAGGCAGCCACGAGGACATATTCCCCTGTGTACAGTAGCCAGGACTCAGCCTGTGGTAAAGCCAAGCCTGCATTAAGTTTAGGAGAGCAATTATATAAATGTGTATTTGCTTCAAAGAAAATTCTATTTTCTAAAACATTCTTATTTCCAAAAACATGTACAGTATAATGAGCGCCTTCCCTTGAAGGCGCTCTCTACCAGCACACAGTCATGCATCGCTTAAATCATTTTGGTCAACGAGGGACCACAAAGAAAGCAGCAGTGCCCATGGGTTACATGATACACCGAGGTGTGCAGGGACTACACCGCCTCGGCCTATGTAAGGCGCTCCATGGTGCTGACACAACCATGAAGTCTCCTGAGGATGCCTTCCTTAGAAAGCATCCTGTCCGGAAGTCTCACGAGACTGACAGACATTCGAGTCTATTTCTATCAGGACTCGAAAACAATTTTAGTGGAAGGTAAGGAACACTTATGCCACCACTTAATACCTGGAATGTTTGTAACTGAAAAATTAATGTAGAAAAGACCATTAGGCTGTTCAAATTTAAATACCAACAGAATTGAATAAATAATGTGGAAAGCTGACCAGATGGGACTAGAGTCTATTACAGAAGTTTTAGAACTGGTTAAACAGACATTTGGGGGGCAGGGTTAAGCTGTGATGGCACAGGAATTCATATTCAGAGAAAGAAATGTTCCAGTTCGAGGGAGTTTTGGGGGGTGAAAATAGAAAAAGCATAGTCTAAATGCAATGTGGGTATCTGCCTGCCACTAAGAAATCTACGTTAGAGTCCCTCTTCCTTTAACAACCCAGCAGTTGCAAAGAAACCACTGGGGTCTTTGATGATGGAGTCAAAATGAGAGGAACTGTCAACAGAAAAGATCTTGGAGGGTCCAAATCATAGCACTGTCCAAGAGAGCTACACAAGTCACCTCAGTAACTGGAAACTGTGCAGAAACAACATTAAAAAGTAAAAAGAAATGGGTAGAGTTAATTTTAATAATGCATGGAATAATTTTCATATTATAGTTTCTAAATGTCCAAAATATTATATTTCACATATTTCAGACATACAGTCACATTACACAGATATTTTGCTTTTACTGTTAAAGTCCTCAAAATCTGGTGTGTATTGTACACTCACAGCATATCTCAATTCCGGCCAACCTATTTCAATTGCACCATAGCCACATACAGTTACTGGCTACTTTAATGATCAAGACAGCTCTAAAATGCTGTAAATCTGTCCCCAAAATTACTGTATAAAAATTGCTACCAGCCACATTCCACCTTAAAAGCTTTGGCACACGGTGGTGCTTGTTCTGAAGCTAAGGGATGAAACAAGATGAACACCCACAAAGCAAAAGTGCAGAGATGGCATGGCGCTCAATGACAGCCTGTAGGAAAAACTTCCAGATCTCCGGACGAAGTCAATAAAACCGATGCCACAGAAGGAGACCCAGGGAAGGAGACGCAGGGCAGCATGTGAACTGGGAGATCACAGTAGTGCAAGCGAAGGAACCTGAAAGCTGGCATGGAAGGCAATAAGGACAATTCTTGGAAAGGATGAAATACTGCAAAGAAGGTGACCTAATAACCTAAGCGGCGGGCAAAATAGCGTGGGCACTCTGCTTCAGTCCACGCAGGTTCAGGGCCCAGGACGCAATACAGCTGAGGATGAGATTCAGAGGCGCCCACCTGCAATATGATCGGGAGGACGGGCAGCCTGGGCCGGGCGGGGGAGGGACCTCGGCCAGGTGCTGAGGACGGGCAGCAACGACCCCACCTGGCAAAGCCCCTGCCCCGGGGTCGCAGATTCCCGCGCTGGCAGTTCCAAGGCAGAGCTGCGGAGAAACAGCGCTACCGCCCTCAAGGAGGACGCCACCTTCCTCCTCTCCCCCCACGCCTCCCCAGTACCTGGGAGGCCCCGGAGCAGGTGCGTCCTCTCTCCCGCGGCCAGCAGGCACAGGCCGGCCCGCGGCCGCCGACGCCGAGGGACGCGCAGGCCCGCCCGGGCAGCGGAGGGAGCGGCCGGCCTTCCGGGCGGCCCGCACGCCCCGGCCGCACGCCCCGGGCCGCTGCAGCGGTGTCCGGCCGCGCGCGCCGGCCGAGGCCGAGGGGAGGCGGCCCAGGTGTCACCCGCCGGGGCCCGCGCCCGCCGCCACCCGCCCACCGGCGCCAGCCAGCCCGACTTCCCGGTCCCACCGGCCCACGCACAGGAAGCACTTCCCGGGCCTGAGTGACGGCGCTGTGCTCCAATCGCCGCCCCGGAATCCTCCGCGGCTCCACCCCACGTCAGGAAGACGCGCCGTCGCCTAGAGGAGAAGGCGCCGGGGGCGGGGAGTGCAGGAGCCAATAGGAGAGGCGGGAGGAGGGGAAGGCGGGGCCTGCGCCGACCGCCCGGCCGTCGCTCCCCTGACGCCCCGGCGCGCCACCTGCCCCGGCCCGGGCTCCTGCCCTCTGCCCCCGCCGGCCGCCGAGGGCGCGGAAGGGGGTCGCCCCAGCTCGGGGCCCTGCCCTCGCCTTCTCGTGGTCGTGCGAGCGCCGCCCGCCCGCCGGGCGCCCCGCCACCCGCGCGATGGGCGCCAACGAGGACCAGGAGGTGAGTCCCCGAGCCTGGACGCTTTTCCGCGCAGGCGCCGCGCCCGCGCCCCGGGACTGGGGCTGCCCCCCGAGGCCTGCGGGCGCCCCGCGTGTGCCCTCGCGCTGCCGCCGACAGCCTGGCCGGGGCCCCGCCAAGTTCGCGGGTGTCCGGTGTGCGTGGGGAGGGGCCCGCCTCTGCCTCCCAATCCCGCATTTTTTTCCTTCTTGCACACCCCGGGGGCGCCCCAGCACCCCGACTTGAGAAGGGTAAGTGTGCAAGTGTCCCTGGCAGCACCCTGGGGTGCACTGGGCTCGCCCTACGTCTCAGTGTGTTGTCAGCGCTTGTTTAATTAGCACTGAGGCTGGAGTTTTTTAAATTTCTGGTGGGAGAATCTAGAGACCCCAGTGTCCCCAGTTTCTCTCCACAGTGTTTTGGTGGCATCGTGGGCAGGACGAACTGTATGGGGTGCCCGGCATGTCTGCAGAGTGCCGCTTTGACATTGAGTCCTGGGGCAGGAGAGTTGGATGGCAAGACTGTAGGTCATCTGGAGGGGCACCTTCTGATGGTGTGATGTGTGCAGATGAGGAGATAGGGTCTCCCAAGGTAAATGATTGCCCTGGGGCTGCACGGGGAGAATGGGGCTAGAATGGGAGTCTCCTAGATAGGTGCTTAGTAGCCCACCGCTCGCGTGGAATACAGTGCTTGAAAGGGAGCACTTTGCCGTGACAGGTGTCACAGAACCTCTGTCTTGGGAGTTACCTTTAAAGATCCCAAAGTCCAGTGGGCTATTGTAGTTGTACTTGACTCCCTTCTGAAACATCCTCGACTGGGGATTTTCCAAGCCAAGGCAGGACCAGTTCTTACTGTGCGGCCTGGAGCTCAGAGTGCAGTGGACCTGGAGTTTTACCAGTGGACGACCACCTCAGAACCCTTTGGATTGTTGTCAGAAAACTGGGTTTCTGCATACACCCTCAGATTTACAGAGTCAGAATTTCCACGGTGTCACCGCAGACTGTCCATTTTAACAATAAAATTCCTTTTTTTCCCTAAGATTTATTTATGTATACAAGAACTGGGGTATAGAGGTGTGGGGGGGGGGGTGAGAGGACTCACCAGAGACAGAGCCGGGGAACAGAACAGGCAGAGATTGACTGAAATACCCTGCTGAGGGGAGCGGAAGGCAAGTCAGGAGAGGTCTGCTGCGCCATGTGTGTAGCTCCCTGCCTGGGGATCGAACTTGTGCTGCAGTGGCTGCGGATAGCTTCATAGGTGTGTCTTCACCCCTTGCACCACCAGGAAGGCCCTCCATTCTTCTTTCACATGATCAGGTCTCAGATCTATGATGACAGTTTTCCTGCCTTTTTGTCCAGACCGCCTCTTGTCATGCTAAGAGATTTCCTTTTTGCTTTTCTGCACCTGCCTATCCCTTTTAGTACCTTCCTTTCCTGGGATCATGTGTCTTTGGACAGATTATGACTATCTCCTGTTTTCAAATGGGGGCTTCATTGTGACCACAGTTAGATACACTGTCCACTAGGACCCTCTAAGTGCCTCATACAAAACCACTTGGCTTTCACCCCCAACTTGTATTTAGACATCAAAGCACAAGTTCATATACTTACCTTGTTAAATTTCATCTGGTGAGATTCTTTTTCGAGGACTTTTCTAATACTTTGTCACTGGCACAAATTAGTGTCATCCAGTTGGCATGCACAGATTTGATAAGCCTGCCTTCAGTCTGTGTTCCTGTCCAGGTCATTAACTTAAAAGTGGGGAAGGATTAAGGACGCCAGGAGTAGCATCATACTTGAGTGAGGTTGTTTCGTCCAGTCTCATCTCAGTTTGAAGTCCTCGTTTTTGTGTTTGTGTTTGTTTTCTGTAAAAAGAGTGAACGAAATCTGGTCCTGGAGGTGGAGGGTGGCACACGGATCTTGTTTTTCATGTGCTTCTCGGGGCTATGCCCGTCTCCCAGATCCTCACACGTGACTTCTTTAATCTGCTCTAAACATTGGTCCAGGTAGACCAGACTCACCACCTTTAGTGTGAAGAATTCATAACATGCATCTTTTGAAAACTAAAATTTGTAACCACAGGAGTCTTTGCTTCTCTTCTCAGGTGCAGTGATTGCGTCCTCTTTGTAAGCTGCAGTGCTCTGAGAAATAGTTCCAGGCAAGGGTTACGAGTTACATTTTCGCTTGCTGTCCTTTTCCTCATCTTGAGTAGATCCTGTCAGTCTTTTCTCTAAAAGTTCTTTTTATTGTCCTTATGTGTTTTTTCCAGTTTTGTATCATTCTGTGGGAAGGTGCAGAAATATAAATAATATATGTAGATAATGAGGAATTACTGTTCTTCACATTTCTCATCTCCACCTTTTTGTGTTCTTGAGGTTTAGAATCTGCGGTACTGCTGAGCCAGCTACCTTTTAGCACAATGTTAGACTGAACCTCATTTTCCTCCCTGATAGGAGAAAATAATAGTATCTTGTCACAGGAGTCATGTGAGAATTACATGGTACCCTGTAAAATACTTAGCGCATAGTTGTAAAGCTGGTGTTGTTGCGATGTGTTGCTACATGCACTTGAAGTATGGACATCAAAGACCATATAAGTTAACTAAGTTTTACATAGTTGTGTGACTTGAATTAGATGTTACAGGCCCTCTATCCCTTTACATTTATACTACTAAACAATTTATATCTTTGACTCATTTCTTTCAGATGGAACTAGAAGCATTACGATCAATTTATGAAGGAGATGAAAGTTTCCGGGAATTAAGTCCAGTTTCATTTCAATATAGGGTAAGACCTGGCATGAATAGAAGTACTTACAACTTTGCTAGAAAGAAACAACAGAAGACTACTAAAAATCCTGATTTTGTTTTTTAAATGTAGTAGTTTCACAGTATGTTACGTCTTTGAATTTTTCTGAAGCATTTAAAGGAAAACTCGATCACTATGATATCAGTTGTTTTTAACAGTTGAAAATTTAATGACTTTTTATAAGAACAAGATGAACTTGTTCTTATTGTAATAAAATGTTGGAAATGGAGGAAACCTTAGAAAGTGTAAGACTTTATGTTCTAAATCACATCTCCCAGTCATAACTTCCTAACTGTTCTTAAAATCTATAACTGATATTGATACATAATGGGATTAAAATTCAAGTCTCTGGGCCTCCCCAGTGGCGCAGCGGTTGAGCGCTGGGTTGCGAAGCTGCCCGCAGCCTCTGCAGCGCCGGTTCGATCCCAGGTCACCGGGTGAGGGTCCCACATGGCGCGCAGACCTCTCCTGCCGCCCGCTGCTCCCCTCAGCAGTGTACTTCATCAGTCTGCCTGCTCTGCTCCGCACTCTGGCTCTGGTGAATTCTCTCACCCTGACGCGCTTCTGACTGTCCCCAGGGCTTGTATGAATAAATAAATCTTTAAAAAAAAAAAATTCAAGTCTCCATTCCATGTCTAATATTCCTTTTACGGCCTTCTGACATAATTAAGAGAAGTTCATACTTTCTTAATGCTGTTAGCTGTTTGTGTGACTATTCTATACACATGTGAAATGGTTTTTCTTTAAGTGAGAATTGCTCATAATTCTTCAACATAAAACAGTGCCTGCATTTGATTTCATAGGTACATATTAGACACCATTTATCTAAATGATCATAACTAGTAATGGTATGGAAAAGTCTTTTGTAAGAGGCAGTTATAGTTATTAGCAGCATCTCCATTTAAAACAAGTTCTATGACAAATGATCCTTATCTGTGATAGGCATAGGCTGTCCCGGAAAGCAAATGCTGGACGGTTACTTCTACAGCTTCCACCCTGCTCAGCTCTTCTCAGCTCCCTTACACACCATGTATCTGGCAAGCTGGAGACTTTTAATGGCCAAGCTAATGATGGTGTTAAGTGTAGACGTTTCTCTTTGATGCTACTGCCTCCCCAGACTGCGCTACCCGCTGCCACCCCCATCCGGACCCATGTCCACCCTACAGGAGGGGGCCCAAGGGTAGATATAAGGGAATGGACTGTTAGGTCTGGGGACAGTGTGTACAGCACAAAGGACTTGGGGCCCAGCGCTGTCTGTGTCCTGTCGGACCCCCTTCAGTTCCGGCGCAGACCAGTTGAGTAGCCCCCTAAGGGAGGCCCTGCTTTCTGTTGTCCCTCCAGCTGTCCCCTTACACTTTACCTTTCGTCCTCCAGCAGCCTGCTAGCCTTGGAAACACATACTCACCCCACTCCTCTGTTGGAAGGGGTTTTTCCACAGGTTTCCCATGCTGTGGAACGACGGACCTGGCCTGGGTGGCGCCCTGACCAAAGCCTCTTACCCTGCACCTGACAAGAGGAGCCAGTCCCAGTCTGGGGACATTAGACAAGAAAACTGGCCCTGATTCTTTTTGTCATAAAGACATTTAAATTTAAATATTATAAAAGACCTTTAAAGGGCGGGGGGAAGGGATAGGGACTGTTCCGAATTAAAACAGAATAAAGAAATTTTCATAAGAGAATAGAAAATAAAGTTAAATTTTTTCCTTTTCTTTTTGCCTTTTCCTTTTGTTTCTTAATTTTACATGTTCTGGTCTCTTGGGGTCGTGCTACTGCATGCTCATTTACCTTGTTCTTAGTATCTCACGGTTTCACATTTGGAAAACGTCAAAAAATGAGGTATTTTGAATTAAATGGGGTTTTTTTTGCCCATTTTTTTTCCTGTTCTCCACAGTTCATATCCTGTCTGTGCTCAGAAGTCTGGGCACTGTCTTAGATAGTGTCCTCATGCTGCAAAAGCGGAAGGGCCGGTGGGAGAGAGGCCACAGACTTAAACTAAAGCTGTTAAAACGGACTAGAGCAAGTTAAAATTTATTCTTTATGCAGCCCTCACCCCCTGCTGAGTCTTAGCCTGTGCCCTAAACTTTTCAAAATATTCCATTGCTAATCTGAGCGTGAGGATTGGGAGGAATTCATTCATTCCTAGTGATAATTTAATGTTCTGCCTCTGAATCACTTTTTACAAGCCTAAGATTTCCCTTTTCTTCAGATAGGTGAAAACGGTGATCCCAAGGCCTTCCTCATAGAGGTATCCTGGACAGAGACGTACCCCCAGACCCCTCCGATCATATCTATGAATGCCTTTTTTAACAACACCATGTGAGTAGTGTTTCACTGCCATTGTTGTTGTTTATTTAACACTTTTACTTGTGTCTTAGTCAATTTCTTGTGCGCTGTAGATCATCAGCTGTAAAGCAGAGCATATTAGCCAAGTTACAGGAAGCTGTGGAAGTTAATCTGGGGACGGCTATGACCTACACATTATTTGAATATGCCAAGGACAACAAAGAGCAGTTCATGGAGAATCACCATCCTATTAATTCTACCGTGAGTATGTGATTAGTTTTTACCAGATTTTCTTTTTTTTTTTTTTTGTTTTCTTTTTTTCTGGATGGGAGTTGGGGGAAGGTTTACTCTGCTAGTAATTAATTTCTATTAGTAAACATTCATAACTAGGAGATTTTGTGTTAGATTAAAATAAAAGTTACATGTAAAAGAATTTGGAATTTTAGATCGTTTAGTTATGATTTATCTTGAAAAACCAAATTTCCTACACGCTGGCCTTGTGCCTCTCTTCTGTCTGCTGTCCATACACTTACAGTGTGACTGTCGCCAAGGTCTAAACCTCCTTCTGCTCAGTTTACTCGTCTACAAAACGGAGGTTATGGTAGCATCTACTTTATGAGATGGCATTAAGGACCCGTGCAAATAGCAGACATACAGCATTGGCAGAATGCATGGCACCTGGCAAGCATTTCACATTTGTCTCTCAGATTCTCCCTGAACCCAAATGTCTTAAAGATTTTCTTCATTTCTTCAGGGAACCAGGACATTCTATATAGGTACATGTGACTTTTCTAAAGAAATATTTCAATTTCCAAATAATAGCAGATGAGCTGAACTGTAAGACAACCTTGGCACTTCAGGGCTTCAGCGTAAGGCAGGTGTCAGGTCTTCTTTGCAGGGCCCTGCTTATGGCAGTTGCACAGACACCAGGCCCTTTAGATACACAGTTCAGGCACAGGTTCACAAATTCAGTCGGGCAGGTGAAGAGACAGCTCCGTAAATAGTGGCCTCCACCTGGATGGGCATGGGGACCGGACTGGGTTCTGCTTCCTGGGCCATCCATTCCCCTTGAACTTTCAGAAGCATGAAACCAATTATGTGCTGGTTCCATAAATTATTATTAATAATACAGGATTCTTTTAGTTAACATATGCAAAAGTTACCAGATCTTTTCAGAACATAGCTGCATTTAGTGTAGTTCAGTAAGTTTTGAGGCATGAGTCTAACAATTACTTCTTTTTTTTTCTAGACATCCATAAGCAATATCATCTCAGTTGAAACTCCTACCACAGCCCCATCAAGTAAGAAAAAAGACAAAAAAGAACAACTTTCAAAAGCCCAGAAACGGAAGCTAGCAGATAAAACAGGTTGGTGTTTTTTCCCTTTATAACATAGATAGGTTGCTTTTCAGTGTGATGTGGGTGCTTGATCAGTAGATTTAGATTTAGAAGATTAGTTCTTTATGCTTGAAACATTTGGATTAGAGATTATCTTGGGTCCCGGATGTCTATTGAAAATATTTTCTACTTCCTCACAAGAGATAACCATTTGAGGAGAAGGTGACCCAATGACAAAGTGATGTCTCCTGATGGAGAAGTGTTAGGTCAGCAAACAAAAGTGCGTGCTGCCTGCGCCCCCCACACATCAGGGTTTCCATCATTATCTTTATGGCGGATATGCCTTATAGAAGACGTTTTTGAACGACACCTTTCATTTGAAGTGAAATCTGTGTGCCATTGCATCTTGGTATAATAAGTAATTTAACATTGTTGTCTGTATTTGACTTATATATACAACAGTAAGATTGAAGAGTGGAACTCCTGTGTGTCCTAAATCAGTGGGTTGGTATCACCTTTAGAGCAGCTTTAAACTCTAGCTCACGTCAGTTCTGTTTGGTATTCTGTCTGACAGTAAACAAATGGCAATCCTGTGTTGGCAGTAAAGATACATTTTTTTCAAATTGTGATGATTCGTGACATTAAAAATCTGGTAACCCATTATGCCTATTGTCAAAGCAGCTGTGAGGTGTGAACAGCTGGACCAGTAAGCTGGTAGCCATTACAGTCTGTTTTCTAGAATCTTGGTTAATCTCTTTTTGGGGCATTGGTGCATCTATTTCAGTTAGCTTTTTACCTATTGCTTTTATATGTAATACCCTATGATCACCCCCTTTCATTAATACTCCCCTCCCTCTACCTCTTGGACAGTACCACCCCAAGTCTCATTATCCCTCTATAATTATGGTGCAGGAGTTCATGATATGGAATTTGCATTCTAAATAAAACTGCAGTGGGACAGTTGTAGCACTGTGGGGGTAGGCCCTTCATAACCAGTAGCCAGATTCTTGTTGGTACACAGAAGAAAAGGACAATTAGCATCTAAAGTTGAGCTCTAGGAATAACGCTTCTCTCCTGTGAGAGTCATGGGGTTAGTTCTGTTTTCTCTTGCTGTGAAATTAATAGTCTTGTTTAGAATGCAGGTTGTGAAGGTTTCATGAAATGAATGTACATAACATACATCAAGCTTAAAGGAAATCAAGCCCTTTAAGTTGAAAACTTTTTACATTATATTTGTTGTTAATCTGTACTCTCAATCTGAATATTCTGTTACATGGATAAAAGCACTTTATAAAGTCTTCTGTAAGACTGAACTTATTTCCAAGCATCCCCAACAGATTAAAGCCCTTTTTAAAGAATGTCATATCAGAAAATGAGTGTTTCATCAGAGCACAGTAATAATAAATAACTTAACCACCTAGTCTTAAGGCCCAACATGTGTTTGAGGCCTCTGGTCTTGAGCCATGCCTCTCTTCCTAGCAGAACGCCACCTCATGAATGGCAGCTAACACGACACTTTCTTAAAAATCAGTGACCTTGTGGAAAGCAGTGTCATTGTGCAGGTGCATGAAACAGATGCAACTGGTTGGCTCGGCTTCTGCATCCCTACCTTGCCACCACATTTGCCCCTCGATACCAGGTTTTGTCTTGAATTTAGGGTACATGTGAAGGGGGGAGGGGGCACCTGAAATATTTCTCAAGTACCCCCAGGGGAATAATGCTTTCACTTCACAAGGACAATAAACTTTTTCCAACTTAAAAATATGCAATTTATATTTTTAATCTTTGTTGCATAGAATAGTACATAAAAATTGTATTTAATACAATATTAATTTTTAAATGACTGGTCTTAGAAATAAAGTTACTATCTTTCTCCTCTAGATCACAAAGGAGAGCTTCCTAGAGGATGGAACTGGGTTGATGTGGTGAAGGTACATAATATTTATGTTCTGGTCTTCAAAATTGTTACAGTTATTGCTGTCAAATAATGACATCTCTGTCTTTTTTTCTCCCCATCAATCTTTGGATTTCCTGGGATGTCTCCTTCCTTTTTGACATCCAGCATGTGAGTATTTTTGACATATCCTTTGTATTCTTCTTTTCCCAATGCCCTCAGTTTTAGATTTGCCTTTGGTAAATAATGGAAAGTCTGCAGAAGTAGCTATAACTCAAGTAAAGGATGGCTGTTTCTGTAAGCACATCTTGAAAATGGACATGCTTGAATAGACTGAGTTAGCAAGAGTAGGGGAACTGGAAGGCACAGGTCATGGGAAGGAAACCGTGACTTGATTTCTCAGTTGAAATTACTTTGTTTTTTAGGGCAGACCACAGGTGTAGTTTCCCAGCATCAAGGATAATTTCCTACTTTTGTTGTTTTAACTTGTTTACTTTCCATTTTGAAGGGTTTTTTTGTTTGCTTTTTGGCTTTTCGGGCCTACTTCTTTTCCTCACGTTATTTGTAGTTTCAGCTATAGGAAACTGATACTTAGCACAATGAGTTAATTCTCCTGGTAGGACTTCAGGAGATGCATTTTACTTGCCAATTAGTGTCACGGCTGCCAGGAGAAGTAGTTAATACGGCCCAAGGACACCAATGAGGGCGTGCAGACATAGTCTCTCACTGGCAGTACGTTCTTTAAGTTTATTTTACTTAAAGTCAGTTGTTTGGGCCATGGAATGCTTTTTCTATAGAAACTATTTAAAATAATCTTGTCCTTCTAGAATCTAGTAAAAAAAAAAAAAAAAATAGTACTTAGGAATAGGGAGCCATGAGCTGCAATTGGAACAAAGAACTCACCTTCCTGGGCAAGCATTGGCCCTGTCCGAGATCCCTGCATAGAGGAAGCTTCTCTGGTGTTCACATTCAGGGCCGGGCCTGAGGTCTGATGGTGCCTCTGATTCTCCTGGGCTGCTCATGCGGGTCTCACCTGCGAAGTCTGTTCTTAAAACACTCCGTGCTCCAGGAGGGGTAGTGCTCGTCTTTCTGTAGGTCCAGAGCTTTTTTCTCTTTAAGATAGTCCCTGCTAATATAAATTAAGATTTCAAGCTATTAAAGAAAGTAAAATTTAAATAATCCAGTTAATCTTGGGAGCTGGAGGGGGATATTTTTAAGAAGGCAGCTCCACAGAAGCATTAGCCCTAAGCTGAGGTACTTGAAGACCCAAAGTCACTGAATCCAAATTCCAAGAACCCCAGTATGTGGGAAGCTGTGAAAAGCAAAACTGCTAAGGAAAGCTGTTTCCAGATGTGGGGTGTGGGGCCCAGCGACCCAGACACCCTCTCAGTGCATCTGCACCTCAGAACCTCTGCATCCTCCAAAAATCCATGATGTAAGAAGGGAAGAAAAGCTTAATCTAAAAATAAACTTTAAAAAAAAAAAACCCACAGAACTCTTTGCAGCCTCATAGTAAGGCCTCCTTTGCTCTGGACTCACTTTTTCCTGAGTGTACATGGCGATTACCACAGGGAAGGCGTGACGTGTGAGGCGCCGTCACTAACGGTCACTGGTAGAATGTGCTTTCCAGGATTTTCTAAGGTACTGAGTAGGCTTAGGACTTGAGCATGTACACGTTTACATGACCCAGTTTGCTCTGAATAGTGTGCAGTGTCCTTCACGCTCTTCATCACACCTGCCTTACCAAGGGAGCAGATTTGCGGGGCCCCGCTGTCATCTGTCGAGCTAGATAATAAAAGAGATTTGCAAAAAATATAAACAAATACTACTATTCACATTAGATTTTGTTTCTTTTAGAAAACGTAGTCATCTTTCCTTAAACCTGTTAATTGGATTATCGTGTGGTAGGTTACTGTTATTTTTACGTGCGTTACAGTTCTCAGTTTAAATTTCAAATGTGTAGGTATAACTTCAATTTTTAAGAAAGGTACTTAGGATCTTCAGTGTATAAGAGTAGGAAAGAGGCCCCAGAGTCAAAATGTTTGAGAACAGTTTTCCTTAGCAGCTTTTGCTTTTCATAGCTTCCCACATTCTGGGGTTCTTGGAATTTGGGTTCAATGACTCTGGGTCTTTTTTCTGGTCAGAATTACCTTTGTGTTCTTTGGGGATTTTTATCTGCCCTCTGCACCACACATTTGCCAACTCCTGCTATAAAAACTCTTACCTAAAAAATTTGCAATTTGAGATTTTTATATTTTCAAAACTTTTAAGAATTGTCTAGTTAAGATAATAAATCTTAAATATTTTTAACCACTTTTAAAAAAAATTATTGTTTGTAATAGAAAGTAAAATAGAAGCACATCATTCTTTTTATAAATGGTAACTTTTGCTCGTTCTTGGGACCAGTTTATTTCTTGGAAAGCTTCAAGGGAATTTGCCCACTCACCAGCCCCACCCCTGTCCTGTTGAAGTTAAAGACCCTGTTTGAATTAGCTGAGCCTGAAGTTAAAAAGTATTTAGATAGAGAAAAGCCATAGGTGGTATAAGTTTAATTGAATCTTGATGCCTGTTATTTTATTAACTGTTTACTTTTGATAATAAGTAGAAATAAGAACTCAAGTAATACAATAACTTAAATTTGAATATTTTTTTTCTCTTTATAGTTGAGCAAAACTGGCTCTAAAGATGATGAATAACACTTGGCATTTGAGACAAGGGACTCGCATCCTTTTAAAAGTAACCTGGGTTCAAAATCTTTCACTACTCTTTCTGGTATCAAGGTGACTTTTTATAAAACAACTTTTTGTATGTTTCTTATGTAAAACCTGTTGTAAGCTGTCAGTTCATGAAGAGATCTGGTGTATTAAATCATTTTCACAAATTTGCCTTAATAAAAGGTGAAACTGTTGATGTGTAGCATACTTTATGAACCTGTTGGGCTTTGTAAATGTACAAATGCAGGGGATGATAAATATTAATTTATATGATCTTATTCAGGTAGGTGTGATGTTTTTTTTTAAGGTCTGAAGCCCTTTTCAAACTCTCAGCCCCGTGGAGCAGAGTGCTGAGTGAGCGCCACTCCCCACGCCCACCTAGCACGCTTCTGTCTTCGTGAAGTCTTTCTCTTCATTGCTGAAGCGTAAATCGCTTCAGAGAAATTGAAGTAGAAGTACTGGGTTTGAACCTCATAGATAGGACTCCTTGTAGCTCCTTTTTATTTTTCAAAGGTGAACCGCTTCTCTTTGATGAATCAACATGTGTTTATGCTTTTGGTTTGGGTCATGATGTTTGGGCACGAGAGCTTTCGGTGTTACCAGGGAGAGGAGAATGTGAAAATGTATCTGCCAGATATCTTAGGAAGCATTCGAATAGAGATGCTGGTTCTTATTTAAAAATTTCTCTTTGCTGCAAATACCAGGATGGGAGTAAAAGATGCCTTAATAATTAGTTTTTGTAGTGTGGAGACAATAGCTTCAATAAATTCCTATGTCTATGCTATTGTTGCAATTTTTAATTGTTTGGTAACTGAGATCTTCTAAATGATTTAAAACCACATTTCAACTCTTGTTTTTGTTTTGTTTCGTTTTTAGCGTCTTTTCAATATCTATATGTATTTCTCAGCCTGACCATCTTTGTAATAACAACTGTAAAGTCAGATGCTGAACTGAAGTACATGATTGATATTTTTGTTATCATTAATAGAAGAAGCTATTAGTGTAGCTTTACCAGGAAGTTACTGATGCTTGTGTGTGACTTGCAGTGATTCTATAGATGCTCCCCAACAATAAAGACACTTACAACTACTGCTGTGGTATCCGGAAGGGCAAGTGGTTGGTTCCTCAAATTAGACCTGTGCATCTTGGGTCTGAGTTTTTGAAGAATAATTCACTTTTAAAGAAGTTTCCTTAGCACAAGGGTGTTTGAGGTATCCCTGGTGTTTGCTGAGTTAACACTGACTTGAGTCTTTAAAGTGTCATTACAATGAAGAAGTGTAATGACATTTTCAAAAGCTGTATTACTTTTTATTTCTTGAGTTAATATGATAGAGAAAAAACATTAAAATTCAGGACCATTGGAATGTGCCAACTTTGGGGTTGTGTGTGGTTTTGTTGTGTTGACTTGTTTGCTTGTTTTGTAAAGAAGCTGAAACTGCTGGAAGAAAATATTTCATTTTGTGCTGAAGATTTTGAAGTTATTCAGGCTTATCATGGTTCATAGATTACAAAGATTGATGCTAGTTCAATGCCAATGACTATTTCTACTCTTTTTATATGAAATGTGCACACGTTGGGGGTGCTGGTGGCAGCGGTGCCTCCTACTACCTCATGTAGTGAGGTAGTAGGCCATGGAAAACACTTGAACATTCTCATCAGTCTGCCATCATCTGTTTAACCTCCTGGCATATTTTATAAAAGTCTGTTTACTTCAACTTGTATGGAAATGACAATTAATAAGCAATAAAAGCTGAACGCATATATACACAATGATTTTTCTACATGTTTTATTTCAAATCACTTGAGTTTTTTATTTTACAAATCTGAATAGACTTAGTATACAAAGTACAACTTCCTACCAGAAACTTACTCAAAATGTTGGATTAAAAATTACTTAAGTGAGGGCCTCCCCGAGGTGCAGCGGGTTGAGCGCAGCGCTGTGAAGCTGTCCGCAGCCTCTGCAGCGTGGGTTCAATTCCCAGCTGGCCAGGGAGATTCCCACATAGTGCAGCAGACCTCTTCTGTCTCGCCCACTGCTGCCCTCAGCAGTGTGTGTTTCAGTCCTTCTGCCTGTTCTGCTCCCTGCTCTGTCTCTGATGAATTCTCTCACCTGTGCGTCTGGCCTATACCCCAGTTCTTGTATAAAAATAAGTAAATCTTAAAAAAAAAATTGAGACCTGAAACCATAAAATATATAGAGGGAAATATAGGTGAAACACTACATGACATATATACCTCAGTAACATCTTTACAGACACATCACCCAAAGCAGTGATAGTGAAGGCAAAGATAAACAGCTGGGACTACATCAAATTAAAGAGCTTCAGCACAGCAAGAGAGACAGTAACAAAAACAAAGAGAAACCCCACCAACTGGGAGAACATTTTTGCACACAACACTAATGATAAAGGACTGATCACAAAAATCTACAAAGAGCTGATGAGACTCAACAAAAACAAAGAAAATAATCCAGTCAAAAAATGGGCAGAAGAGCTAAAAAGAAACTTCTCCAAAGAGGAAATGCAAATGGCCAACAGGCATATGAAAAAAATGTTCAAATCACTTGTAATCAGGGAAATGCAAATCAAAACTACCATGAGATACCATCTCACACCAGTGAGAATGGCACATATTAAAAAACCAGCAACAACAAATGTTGGCGAGGGTGTAGAGAGAAATGAACTCTCCTGCACTGCTGGTGGGAGTGCAAACTGGTCCAGCCACTATGGAGAGCTGTGTGGAGATTCCTCAACCAGCTAAAGATGGAGCTTCCATATAATCCAGCAATTCCACTCCCAGGTATTTACCCAAAGGACATAAACATTAATTCCAAAGGGTACCTGCACCCCTATGTTTATAGCAGCACTGTTTATAATAGGTAAACTATGGAAACAACCTAAATGCCCAAAAACAGATGACTGGATCAAGAAGATGTGGTACATATACACAATGGAATATTACTCAGCAATCAAAAAGATAAACTCATGCCATTTGCAGCAACCTGGATGGAGCTGGAAGGGATCATGCTCAGTAAAATAAGCCAGAAAGAAAAAGAAAAATACCGGATGGTCTCACTCATAGCAGGAATTTAGAAAACCTAAATAAGGGACCAGGAAAAAGACTAATTATAATAAAGTAAAAATCAGAATCAACAAGCAAATTTATAAACCAGACACACTATGGGGGTGGTGGGGCTGGAGTAGGAGCAAAACAAGGAGGGTGAGAATTGTATGGGGACTATAACCAAGATGAAATGCATACATTGTGCAAAAATGAAAAATGATGTAAAAATATATATATATAAAAAAGTTTTGCTCAAAATTACTTAAATGAGCAGGCAGGAAGGAAAGGAATTAATTACACAGAATTAAAAGGAAGTTGGAACCTAGAGGCGAAGCACAGCAGGCGTCATACCGTCAGGGGCCAGAGGCAGGGGATCAATCCAAGGTTAGTCCAAGGTCAATCCAAGGTTAGAAGTCTCACTCTCTCACACACACACTCACACACACGTATCCCATAGTGCATGCCTGAGGAGGAAAACGTCCTGTCTTGAGCCCTGGTTCTGGATGGAGGTAGAATGTGAGTGTGAGTGCACACATGTACACATTAAACCTCCGCACAGTCTGTAGCAGGTCACCTACACTTGGATTTCAGACACAAGTCTCTCCCCCTGTGAGCGATCTAAAAATTAAAAAAAAAATACTTCAAGCCAGGATTTTAGTTTAAAATGGTACCAGGAGGACACCCGGTAGACATGATCACAGTGAGGCTCTGGAAGCACTGCCGGCAAGCCTGCCCTCCAGGGGCGCCCACCCGGGACACAGACCCCACCCCCTGGCCCGAAGCAGGGCACTTCCAGAGCCAGCTGGAAGGAGAGGTGAGAGCCTGTCAAAATACTGCCCGGGAATGAAACGGTACTTCATTTTTAAAAAATAAGTGAAATTCTGAGACCTATCAAAAAAGAAAACCAAGAGACGGGCTCAGCCTCGCTGCTGTCACCCTGGGGTGGACGGGGAGTCAGACGGCAGCCTGGACTGCTCACTTTAAAGCCTACAGGGGGCAGGCGGCGCCAAGTGTAAACACACCAGGGCGCGCTTAGGAAGAACAACGACGTGCAGAGGGCACTTTATGAAGCCTCCAAGCTCGCCGCCAGCAGGAGTGACAGGGTAGGGACCTGCGGAGCCCCAAGTTGGCATCGCAGCTTCACTCCCACCAGTGTTGTCCTAAAGCAGCGCAGTGACTTAGTACCAGGTAGTAAGGACAAGTCAAAATTTCTATGCGGGCTTTCCTGAATTGTAACATTGGCAATTGCAATACTTTTAACAACAGGCCAATGGACTCAGTGAGGCCCGTGGGCCCCGAGTGTGTGACCCGGCAGAGCAGCGCGCCTGGCGCCAGGACTCAGGCTAAACCTGGAACCACCTGACCGCTGAGCGTGGTGCCCACACCTGAGACTGCCTCAGTGGGGAAGAAGGAAACCCTAGCCCAGCTGATCTGCCAAAAGGAGGGCTGGCCTCTCCCTAATTTGCACCAAGGGGCCAGGAGCTACCGGCAGGGATCCTACAGCAAAGATAAACAACACTGGGGGGAAGCTACTGGCCCATCTCCCAGGACCCCAGACAATCAGGGATCAACCTGGATTATTCAGGAGTCTGTTACCCTCTCTGGGGCTGCACCAGGCCTGAGCTCACAATGTGATTTCTTTGCTTCTCAGCAGAGCCTTTGTTTCCTCTATTCACGCTTTGACATTGAGTTAGATAGGGGTGGATTTGCTTATAATTACAAACCATGGTAAATCTTACAAAGGTGCAAACAAGGTTTTAGGAAATCAATAGATAGGAAAATCCTACTCTGCCTTGGCAGTGACGAGGTGGGGTGAAGGTGTGGTCCAGGAAGAGATAACCACATGCCTTCAACCCTCGGTGTTAGTGCACAACCTAGGGGTACCCAGGAACCCCAAAGTATTAAGGAGTGCACTCTTTAAAGAGGTCTAGCCACCCACGTTTACAAAGGCAATGGAAAGAGAATCTTAGTGTGAAAGATCTTTAATTGGCATGACCGAGAGAGAGAGAAGGAAGGATATTTCTAAGAAACTCTGAAAAGGACCCAACCCTGCAAGGCGCGTGCCTCGCCGAAGGGGAGGCCGCTGAGGCCACGAATCTAAGGCACCGTCTGCGAGGAACAGCAGGGCAGGTCTGGGACAGAAGGAGAGATGCACAGACACAAATCAAGTTAGCAGCTGCCAAGAACCATCTCCCCACGTATCTCTCAACCACGTGACCCTTCCAAGGCTCCTACGTGTCTCTCCTCCAAATGTCTCTCCAAGTCTCCCCCGCATTCCCAGGGTGCAAGTCAGGCTGCAGAAGCAAGATCCCGCTGTCCCACCCGCACTCACGTTACACAGGTCCGCTGGCCGCTCAACTCCGCCTGGCACCCTTAGCTCCCCCACCCGGGAAGCTGGCTCAGGGCTGTAGGGCCAGCAAGCACAGGGCAGGTGCACTATGGCTCTGGCAGACAGAGAGTCCTGGAACCCTCAGTGGATTTTTCAGGCTTTAATGCTCTCTCGTGACGCCAGGTGCACAGGCACAGGGGCAGGGAGCCTGGGAGACAGGCAGGACAGCAACTGAGCCTCCCAGCCCCCATGAAGCTTTACGCTCTTTCTCTGGGCTCTCTGGGATGTCCTCTCTCCTCTCCCCTCCATTCATCTACTGGTCTCACCTGTTCTGTAGTCCTGCCGCTTGCCCTCGAGGAACTGCCATCAGTCTGCAAGTGACGCCGCCCTTATAGCCCTGGCCTTCCACTCATGTGTGCACATGCGCACAGGCCCATGCTCCAGGTGTCCACAATCAGACAGGCGCGCCCCGCACCCACGCTCACAGGCACCTTCTGCATTAACACGATCAAGGCCGCAGGTGGTAGTCATGGGGGTGAGAGTCATGGGGGTGATCAACTCACCTCCAGTAGTGCACTGGGACTTTTAGTCCAAGGTGGCTGCCTGTAAGCAGGGGCAGGGAAAACGGCACCAATTCTGCACAGCAGTGCTCCTCCCCCTTTTAAGGGGATGCAGTCTTTATCTTGGGTACCCCAGCCCTGGGGCTCCAGACAGCCAGGCCCATCTCATCCAGAGCTGATACACCTGACTTGATGATTGTCATCAGTTGCTACTAATGGCCCAAAGACCACATTTCTTTCCTCAGTCTCTTGCCTTAGAGGTGGATAGTCTCAGTTTGCAGTTTATATCAGTCTTAGCCTCCAAATAATGACATGGAGAAAGACACCACCATCCCCCACCCCCCACTTTAACATCTGTGACTATATCCGTGACTCCCCAGCAACTTTTCCTGCCCTAGTCCAGCCCCTCTGCTGCGGCATCCGTCAATGTATCATTCATGAATGTAACTGATTTGAGGTGTTTGTGTAAAAATTTCAGGGAAAATATTCAATTTTGCTAGACCCTTCCCTTATGATATAGTTTCATGTGTTAATTAAAAATTCTAACAGTATAATGCAAACTTACATTTATTTTCAAGACGAATGCTTGCCTGAGAGCAACCGTGCTGAGGAGATCTTACTGCACAGGTAAATGACCTTCTCCACTCGCTCTGACTCTTGCCTTCCCAGAAGCAGGACAGGTCATCCTTGCCAACCACTCTGGCTGTGGGGACAGGCGGGCTAGACTCAACTCCAGGCTCTAAACTGTGTGTCTGTGTTGTTGGCCCATCTGTAAAGTGGGGAGGGCAGCACGGCCGCCTCCTGGTGGGGTCTCACATACATTACACACGGTAGAGGGTGTAAAGGATGGAGAACAGAGTCCAGAAGACAGAGATGCCTGTGTTAAAGATGCAATTAGGCCACGGAGGATCTGTGGCAGGTGAAGTGTAAACAAACAACAAACAAAGGAGCAACAGAACTTGGAAATATAGAAGCATAGAACCAGAAATATAGAACACAGAATCTTCTATTAGGTCCGATATAGTTGCTATAGTTAAGCCAAATATAGTTGGGGAAAGAGAAGTATCAAAACCTCTAACCGCTTTTAGCTCTACAAGAATTTTAATATATTAACTTTCAAAACAGGGACATAGAGATGTTTAAACCTCCCACAACAAATACAGTCATGGAATCATAAAATGATTTATTAATTTCCATCTTGAAGTCATTTCAGGTCTACAGAAAATCTGTAAAAATAGTACAAAGAAGTTCCTTAGACTTGGCACCCACATTCTGCAAATGTTGCATTTGGTATATTTTACAGTACGCACTTTATCAATCTCTCTTCTCTCTCCTGCCACCCAGTATCTTTCTTTATACACACACACACACATGAACACACGATCACACACACATACACCCTTGCACACTTACACATACTTACACACACACATACATATTTCTGAACTGTTGGAGACATTATGCCCTTGACTCCTAAATCCTTCAGTAAATACTTTCAAAGACCAGAACATTCTGTAATGTAACCACAGTGCAACGATCAAAATCAGGAAATGAACGTTGAAACAATACTATCATCCAATTAGAAGGTCTTTTCAGGTTTCACCACTAATCTCAAATGTTCTTTACAACGAAAGAAAAAAAACCTCTGTCCAGCGTCCAATCTAGGATCACCTGGCACTTGTTATCATGTCTCTCTGCTCTCTAATCCGGAACACTGCCTTCATCTTGCTTTGTCTTGCAAAACCTTGACATTTTTCAACAGTGGGTCGGATATTTGTAGAATGTCCCTCAATTTTGGCTTGTCCAGTGTTTCCTGATGATTAGATTCGGCTCATGGGTCTTGGCAGGAATATCTCAGAGGCAGTGCCGTGTCCTCAGCACCAGGTCCACATGACAACTACCCTTCCTCTTCCTGGTGATGTCAGCTCTGAGGGTCTCCCCCGTGAGATCACCGTTGTTTACTTTATAATTAATAAATACCTCGTGGGGGGTGGCAGGTGTCTGGGGGGTCTCAGCCTGAGATATCAGGGGGTTCTCTTCTCCAAGGGAGACCAGGTGCTCTGACCTGATTCAGGCTACCGCTGTTCTGTATTGTGAGCCTCAGATTCCAGCCAGTAATTGTGGCTCCTTGCTTTCACCTCTGTTCCTCTCCCACCATGCACCCTCCATCCTGGGTGCCTGCTCGTGCACCCCCTTATCCAGTGCAGTGATAGGCTTCAAAGCCCCGAAGTTGGTCATTGTTATTACTTTAAACAAATTTCACCTGGAGTTTTCCTGCCCTTTCCAGTGGGGCTGATACGCCCATTGCAGACGCTGATACTTTTTCCCTTGGGGGTCTCTGGCTTTGTAGTGATCAGTTTTGTTGTTTTTCTGCGGAGGCCAACCAGGTATCTTCACTCTGCCACCATCTTGCTGGACTCCTTCTAATAAATATTTTGTAGGGAGATAATTTGATATAATACACATATCTTATTCCATATCCAACTTTCACCCTCCATTTTCCAGTGCTTGTTCTTACTGGAAACCACCGTGACTATGGAGATAGTCACAAGGGATTGTTCTAGTTCATCAGTCCTTGGCACTCTACGCTCTGGACACAACCTTCCATTCTCTTCCACATGCTGACTCAAAACAGTGTGGACTTGTTTCAGGATGCTGGGTGGATTCTATAATCCATTTTATCATTTATTTTGCTGCTCAATTTCCTCCAGATTTGGCTAGTACATGCCCCATCAAACTAACACCTATGTCTGTTGACAGTTCCCATCACACTTGAGTGATTCTGCACTTTCTGGAACAGCAATATCCATGAGATTATTTCTTAATGAGTTCTTGGACAAAATCCCCAAAAGTGGCTCAATGAAAGCAGTTCTGTAGCGAGCCAAGATGCTGGGATCCAAAAACCTTGTTGACAGTTTGCTTGTTTCAAGGCTCAAAGAGACTACAGGAATGAGCACCTCCCATCAACCTCCTTGTAAATATGGCTTCTCTAAACAGACTTTTGGACATTAGATCATCCAATATTTTGTTTCCTGGTAAAGGTCAGCTTCTTGTCTAAAATACCTTTCCACAATGATGGAAATATTCTATATCTGCATTATCCAAAGGGAAACCAATAGCCACATGCAGTGACGAGTGCATGTGGCTAATGTGTGATTGTAATTCTTATATTACTACCCGTGACTACTATCTACCATTATTAGACACACAGGTCCAGAGGAGAAGTTTCCTACAGCACTTATGGACCATGGATTTAAAAGTATGACTGGTGAAATGATGAAACATAGGCCTAAATAATTGAGCAATTAGAGAATTTTGTGGCACTGTTGAATGTAAACCCCATAAGCAGTTGTGTTTATGTATTATTTAAAGAGTGAATTTAAAGAGTAAGTTTATGTATTATTTAAAGAGTAAGACCCCATGCCCCACTGAGGCTACTCCTGTAACAGGCTGAAGCCAAAGACTTATAGGGGTGCCCCCTATAAGGGGGGGAGGTATTGGTAAGGTTGAATAGCCCCAGGTAAAATACAAAGAAAGTACCAGTGGTGGTGGAGACTCCAATAAGAAATATAAAGGAGTGCAGAAGCAAACCCCAGGGTTCAGCATTCGGTTTTTCAGAGTTTTCAGATCTTCTGCACCCACCATGCTGATCTTCTGGAAGGCTGGTGTGGGCCTTGGAAGGAGAGAACTCCAGCAACCAACCTCAGAGAAGAAAATTTCAGAGGCTTTGCAAGTAGCTGAGCAACTGGCGAAACTTTCTGGTTTTGCTGCTGTTACAGCCTGGCCGAGAAGGCAAAGACCCGGAGCCGGGCCTCTTGCTGAGCTGTTTGTCGGGTCGTTCAGCCACTGCAGCTGCCATTTTGAGCATCACTTGTGCTGGGGCATCTCAGCAGGTCCAGGAGCACCTCCTGTTGTGTCTTCTGCTGTCTTTGTGAGTTGGATCCCAGCCACGCGCTCAGGCACTCAGTGGTACAAAGACACCATCTTGGGAGCGTTTGTGTTTAGGATTTTAAAACACTGGATGCTGCTTTGGGTAGGGTAAAAGTCCATTTGTGGTCTCATAATGCTTTATTTTCCCTGGTTTGTTAAATAAATCCCATTATTGTTGTTCTCTGAGCCTGAGTCGTCCTGCAATCATGCTCAGTGACTGGTAAACTCTTTGGGCAGTGTCCTTGGACAGTTTTAGTGCCCCTTGCCGCCCTGTATCACTCTCAAGTTGTGCCAACGTCACTCCAGCATCAGTTAAGGGATAATTATTCTTGTGTGTCTTTCATGCAGGAGCCATGCCTGCAGATCATCTCAAAGTTGCTGAAGGGTAGGTAGGCAAAATGAAAAACAAACCCACAAATCTTGTTTTATCTTCACTCAACAATCTGAAATTTACTTGAGAAAGCTTTATGCATGAATTGTCTATATTCTTGATGGAAAGACAAACAGAATTGTCTGACCCTGAAGACTTACGTTGCCTGGCAACAATCTAAATGAGGCCAGAGCGTCCCCTCCCCCTGCAGGAGGGGCTAGGCTCCAAAGGAGCTTCCAGCAAGGTCAACAGGTGCTGGCAACAGGCGCTGCAGACAGCCAGCTCCCGGAACAGCTGCCATCCAATCTCGCACACCCTGATGCCCAAGCAGACATTTCGCCCCAGATGGCAAGGCTCTCTCGGGCTTGCTCTCCAAAAAAGGGAAAGCAACTGAGTGGGGGTGGGGGCTAAGCCCTTCTCTTGGAGCTCACATCCATTTAGTGAACTTGCCCCAACCCAACTGTTCCTCCACAGCAGGCTGAGGACCGAGCCCAAGGTCTGCTCATAAGTTTCAGCCTTCACCAAAGACTCATTACTATTTGCTCAAATCCTTTGAAAGGCGTATCTTTTATGATCTATTTATATTTTGCCCCAAGAGTGAACATCAAATAAAATCATCATTGAAAACTCAATATGTGATCATAGAGAAAAGAATGCACACATTGGGCCTCCCTGGTGGCGCAAGGGGTTAAACACCGCACTGTGAAGCAATCCGCAGCATCTGCAGCACGAGTTCGATCCCCAGCCAGCCGTGAGCAACCCACATGGCACGGCAGACCTCTCCTGTCTCGCCCACTGCTCCCCTCAGCTGTGCATTTCAGTCAGTCTGCCTGTTCTGATCCCCACTCTGTCTCTGGTAAATCCGCTCTCTCTCACACACACACACACACACACCCCGCATCTCTGGTCTGTACCCCAGTTCTTGTATGCATAAATAAATAAATCTTTTTTAAAAATCTTTTTAAAAATGCACAAATTAAGACTGATCCAAAATATTGCAGTATGTTTTCTAACATATGCAGATCAACTTTCTTTTAAAGATATTTTTATTGCAGTATGTTGACTTATAACGTTATATAAATTCTGTGTTCAGTGCTGTCCAGTGTGGCAATTATTCCTCTGTCTCCACTACATTATGATCACCACCGAGTCCAGTTTCCACCCAGCAGCATGCAGCTGATCCCCTTTGCCTGTTTGACCTGCCTTCTTGCACCCTTTCCTCTGGTAACCACCAATCCGTTTTCTGTATATAAGAGTTTTTGTTTTGTTCGTTTGCTTTGTCTCTTTCTATTCCACGTAGTGAGGCCCCAGGGTACTTGCCTTCCTGCCTCTGATTTATTTCACTTAGCATCATGCTGTCAAGGCCCATCCATGTTGCTGCAAACGGCAAATTTTCACTTGTAATGGCTGAGTAGTATTCTCTTGTTTTTATGAGTAAAATAATTTTGAGATTGGGACACTAAGGTTTAGGTCCTTTATCTGATTATTTTTACCTTTTATTAATAGATAGTAGGAGCCCAGTAACTAACGCTTGCTGAGTCTCTAGAAAGAGAGTATTTGGGTACCAACTTGCTAGACTGTAAGTTTTACTGTTATGAACTGTCAAAATGGTGATTGACGGGCCTCCCTGGTGGTACAAGGG